TCATAAATCCATGTCATCATTTCTCGTGATATTCATTGGTATTAATTTTCAATTTTCGAGAAAATCGAGTGATTAACGTATAACTTATAATTTGGTCGGTATTTAAATTTGCTAATTTTTGTCCAACTATAAGTTTGCTAATCGACTGTGAACTCGTTTGGTAACGTTCATGTTTCTTGTTTATGTTTCTTTATTTTTAATTAAGAAAAATGTATTGCATGGTTTCAACTTCCAAGAATTCAAGTATGATAAAACAATGTTTTTATTTATGTTTTGGAACAAATTGGAAATGGTAACCCGAAAAGAGAAACTTGTTTTGATTGTTCCCAAAATTTCTATACAACTGTGAGAATGTTCCAAAAACAGGAGAAACAAGAAATAAAGTTAGTTGTAAAATACTTAGATTTCTTAAGAAAACTAGAAAAGAGAAAAAGAAACGGGAACGTTACCAAATGGACCCTATACCATTTCAAAATTAGCTCGTTCGACTATATCATTCCAAAATTCTATTTTTATGTATATATAAAATAGCTTGGTCATTATTATTTCAATTGTAAGTTGCCTAAAGAGGTTAGTTAGAGATTTATTATTATTATTATTATTATTATTATGTCCTTATATTCAAATTTGAAAACAAGATCTACCCTTTTGGACATGTAATCTTCATGTAATATATTTTATGTATGACATTTATTGTTTTATGAGAGTAGGATAGTCAAGACTTAAGTTTTAAAGACAAATGTCTTTTTTGTGTATGAATTTTCACTATTAGATTTATTTGTCCCTACCTGCCAAAAGCTTACCATTTTAATCTTAGGGCCATTTGTTTAGTGGGAATTTGGAATGTTGGATACTCGGACAATTTTAAAAGTCTAGGATGCCCATACGGTGTCTGACTAATTTTAGATGTCCTCCTATAACATAGAATTTTAAGATTCTCATGTTGAAAATATTCTTTTGACAATTTTGTCCCTCGTCATTTTTGTTCTATAATATTTTTTTCATCAATAATCTTTATTTTTCATTTGTTTTATTATATTTTAAAAATAAGGGTTGCACTAATTTATTGATAAATGTCTAAATAAAATTTTATTTATATGCTACATTTAGATATAAAATGGACATTAGATAATGGTATAATATCTTAATTTATTTTAGTTTAAATCTAGCGTGTTATAATATATTAATTTATTTTAACTCAAATTTAGCCTGCAACCTTTCATTTATTTTACTCTTTCAATACTAACCAAACATAAACTAAAATCGAAAAAATATATATATAATATTAAATTAATAAAATTAAAATTTTTATATGAATTTAAATAATATTAAATTTAACATATATATTATATGATGACGGTTGGAACAATACGTAATTTAAATACATTCCCTTGTACAAATCTTACAAAACAAACGTTGTTATCTAAATATTCCCGAACATACTTATAAATTTTCCTGCAAAACAAAATGACTATCTGAAGATGTTTGACATCTAAAATTTCGGGCATCTTAAATTCCAAGCATGTGAAGATGCTTGACATCTACATTCTCAGAAAAAGGGGAAGAAGAAGGAAAAAAAAAAGGCCCCCTAAGATTTTCAAAATTCCCTCGGAATAATCTTTTCATTAGTTTTCATATAGATTATAGTTACTGTCACAAGGTCTCACTTTCCCAGTTCATGGTTCCAAATCTCATCTCGCTCTTGTGATATGCTAATGTTTCCTTTTCTCATTTCTAAATAAAGGGTCAGTTTTATGAGTAAGTTTTTGGATCGCAGTCTCATGCACTAATCCTTACGGGTGTCCGTAGATAATCGATCATCACCCTACCTAAACCAATCGTCCACACACGCAACAGTGCAAAGACCCTGTGATGATTGTCATGATTGTCATGAATGTAGCAATGACATGTACAAGAAGGTTATTATTGTCCCTCGGGAGATGGCACAGTTGTAAGTGCAACTTCAACCTTGATCTTAAATTACGTTCACAACCTTTTGATGGAGATATATAGAGTTTAACTTGGCAGATTAGATTTGATTTAACCATAAAATGTGGTAATAGAAATGTAACAAGGCCCGCTTGACAAAAGCTTTGACCTATAATTTTGGATCACGTTTTGATTTAATTGTAAAATGAAAATCCAATAGACCCTCTTTAATAATAATTTCAATCTCAACCATCGATTTAATCCTAAAATAATAAAACGCAGTAATAATTCGTATAAATGAGAAAAAAAACCGTGAGGAGAAATACATTAATCTGAATAAGATACAAATAAATCATAGAAGAATATATTTCACTAAATACCTTTACGTGATTAAAATAGAGGGCATAAAATACATTTAAATCTGATTTCGATCCTTAAGCTTTGATGCTTATTTTATTTTGGTCCATAAATTTTCAAATATTCTATTTATGTCTATAACGTTTCTATTTTAATTTATAAAGAAATTATCTAAGTCACTGTCGTATTTAATTTATGTTCAAATATATCAACCTCAATTCAACTCAGTAGTTAAGTCATTTTTACTTTATCCAAAGAGACAGAAACTCAATCATCATTCATGTAATTGTGATGCAAGTTGGGTTTATTTTTAAAAATCTATTTTTGAAACTTGATAGACAAAGACCAAAATGATTTTTTCATACAAGGACTAAATTATATCTCATTTGTTAATACAAAGAATTTTATAAGATTTCATGATTTTTCTCAAAACTTTTATTAACATTGGCTAAAAACAATCAATCTGAACATAGCTCAACTAGTTTGAACACGGATCTCCAACGAAACCGACGTAAGTTTGAATCACTATCCCGGTGTATTGTACCAACAAAATACATTGTTAAACTTTTTTTTTCTGTAAAAATCAAACCTCGACACATTAGCATTTTAAACCCTATTTATATGTCACACCAAATCATGAACCCTATTTTCGACCTCGGAGGAATTGGGATTTCTTTGATCAATTTTCAAGAGGGTGAAAAATCTCATTTTGATTCTTAAATTTTGGATCCCTCTTTTTTCATTTTTGTAATATTTTTGTTAATCTAATATGTGATGGGTCTCTGCCCATCTAATTTAAATTGATTCCCATAACTCATCCCAAGCGTTAGTAAACAAATCAATCGAAATACGCTAATTTTGAATCTGAAATAATTATAATAATAAATGCTAGGTAGGGAGTTACGAAACACAAGATCTCTTACCTCTGATGCCATGTTAACTCGATCAATCCAAAAACTTAGGTAGATGGATTACGATAAATTTAACCATTTATTAATACTTTCCCAGTATAAGGGGATAACTCTAACTACACAATTCTGGTAACAATAAACACTACGTTAGAAATTGCTCAATTTGTTCATTTCCACCTTTTTCCCATCCCATTATTGGAAAGAAGGAATTATCATCATCTGAATTGGTGCAAAGATTGTTCCCGATCCATTATTCAAGCTATTGCATATTTTTTCACATATTTTTTAGTATTGAAGAATAAAATAAAAAGTGACAAATTAAGGCCACTACTTAATTAATGATCCATTACATTGAACAAGATTCAATTCAATAAAATGATTAAAAGGTCAGAAATTTGGTTCCACCACTCTTAACTAACATAAACCAACCTAATTAGCCACTTTGCCAATTTCTTCACTTGAGTGTTTGTGAAGATAACCACAGAGAAAGAGAGAGAGATCAGAGGTTACAACCACACAAGGCCAAAAATGTCCTTTGGTTTACCAACCTAAACAAGTATTAAAGAATAGAGAGAGAGAATAAATCAATTACTATATATTAAGTATTCTTCTATATATATGTGAGTTTCACATTCATTTTTTGAAGCAAAATCAATCTCTTTAGAGCTTAAGTTGCAAGTGTCATGCAAGGAGACGACGCAAACCGACGTCGTCATGACCGTGATTTTTGGCATGCTCGACAGACTTTTTTAAAGAGCTATAACTTCTCCCGTGGATATGGAAGAGATGATGATGGCTTGAGAGGAAAGATGAAGAGGTCGATGAAAGAGCTCAGGAGATCAGCCAGCAGAATGATTGGAGGCGTTTGTGCCGAGGTGGCTAAAAGAGAGCTTGGAATTAGGGTTTATAGGTTCACAATCAGTCTGCCATCCACAGTTCTTGTGACAATGAGGTGTTTTATGCCAACATTTGGGAACAGAGAGACCACACACATGATTAATTAGTTAGTAAGTTTTCAATGTACGACAAGTATGGGGAACTCTTGTGTGCTTTTTTTCACCCCAATTAAAATTAATTTAAGTTTTAATGTTTATTGGTATCGTTTCAAATAAATGTTTAAATGTTTATTGGTAAGCACTTAAAGTTATTTAAATTTAAGGCTTAATTACATAAAATTGGAAGTTTAAAATTAAGATTGACTCACTTCTCAAAATTACAAAAGTAAAAGCAAAATTTGAATATCTATATTTTAATCAAAATGACCCACGTAAACCTCAAGTTTCTTTTTAGTTCCCGAACCTCCGACCTTTTGATCGAATATATATGTCATAATCCCGTAGACATGCCAACCTGAACATAACTAAACTAGTTAAAGTTTATATCTCGATAAACAAAGTTATGGGTTCAAATTCTCACCTTCCATGTTATACTTTAAAAAAAAACACAATGTTCCATAGACATCAACCCGAGTATAGTTGAGTAGATTACCATCCCAGAGGTCCATATTCGATCCCACCCTGCAAACTAAAAAAACAAAAGAAAAGAAAAACGACAATACTCCACGGCAGTTTAGAAGCAACTACTTGGTAATCGATTTCCTACATCAAAATGATGTAGCTGCATTGCATTCTCTCTTTCCTTTTCTCTGCTTTTCTGTGCAGCACATGCTGCAACTGTCATAACATCTTAAATTATGCTTATAAAAGAGATATTTGAAAATCGAAAAACTTAAAACCAACCAAAAAATAACTTTCGAAAGTAGCTTTGGAAAACAGAATGCTATCTTTAATTTAGACATACATGTTAATTTCAAACCAACCCTTTATATCAACAGAAAATGAAGAAAGAAAACATTGAAAAAAAGTTCCATGTTACTCCTGTCCTGAGTTTTGGGGCCAGGCCAGCACATGAATATTCAGGGGTAAAAAAGAAATACTGAAACTCTAAGGAATAGTAGAAGAAACCAGTACAAAAAATTTTACAATGGTAAAACTAGGAAGGCACAAAAAGCTGTTAATGGTTGATATCTCATAAAGTTTGCTTACATCTAAAGATGGCTAAGGACATGCTTCTAATAAAAAATACAGAAACATTGCACTTATATCAGCCAATTGACACTAACATTTCCAAGCCAAGTGAAAAGTGGGAACTGAGCCAAAGCAATAAAGAGCAAGAGATAGTGATGCCTGCTTGAATCATAGCTCCTCACCTCTGCAAATAGTACTCTCTTCATCGTTTTCACCAAGAATATTCCCATGCATAAGGCCGTCCACGGCATCAGAAAATAGTAAGAGTATTTCATTGATATTCTTCCAATGGCAGCCAGACACAATCCGGTAAATGCATATCCTGCATATGCAACGATATCAAGTAACGGTGCCTCCCCACTTCCCAATGACAAGAGTGTTACTTTAAGCAGCATGACTTGCATAAACCAACCTAGCAATCCCTTGATGAACAACCAACTCAAAGCTTCTGGAGTAAACCTACAATCATTTTAGGAAATGATAATTAATTAAAAATAATCCTGATTCTTGTTGGATGGGTAGTCGTAATTGAAATAAGGCTGTAGAAGGACTTTGAGAATGATGAGCAGATCAAAGTTGAAGTGTGAAACAAAGTCATAAGCGTTCCAGAGGGGCATTCACAACTTGAGCACAGCTCAAGTACTCAACTGCTAAGGAAAGGAAATCCTAATCTGCTAAACATCCAAGAATAAAAATGATGGTTTCATCAAAATATTGACATCTCAAATATAGCAAACATCAAGAACTCATGAGATTGTAAATATTTAAATAACAATTATTAAGAAAAGAAATATCACAGCAAAAACTTTAATACTCCTTTGGTTATACACCATACAGTGCTAGTGTTAATTATATTTATAACAAAACTCGTGAGGAAAAATATTAGGAACAGCGAGCACATCAGCAATATAATCAGCCTCAACATATTGAATGCTTAAATAACTGCTGATGTCAATTAGGAAATTGGAGGATAAGTTACCCAAGGCAATCCCCTCACCATCCAACCTTGCCCATGGAGCAACCTATTTGAAGGAAGTTATTATAGGTATTATCCGTTCCTTGAAATGAAGATCATGAGCACCTTTCAAGTATATTTTTTCCTTTAAGAATATGGAGAACTTTTTATTTGTTTTTTCTTCACTTTTGTTTCCATAATTTTCTCAATATTGTCAACATATTTCTGATATTTCAGAACTGTCCACAACCATAGTGTTGGATGAATAAAATTTTAAATAAAACCACCTAAGATGTTTATTTTTACCTGATTAAATTCAGTGGGCACTGATTACGATGCAAACTGATTTACCATTTCACGGCCTTAAAAAAAGTTCTCTGCATAACCTGATGACTTGGCTAGTAGTAACTATCCTAGACCTTAGTTACAAATGACTTGACCATGCGTCTAGAGTTCCTTCAAATTTCTGTAGATGCTTAATTAAAAATTCATTTGCAACAAAGTTATCTACCTTAGTTGAAACCAGTCTTCATTACTGATATTGCAAATCAAAATGCCATCTACTCCTACATCCCCAAAGATAACCTACCAAAAAAATGGCACTTGGTGATTTTTCTATCTAGTCTTTCAATTTCTTTCTAACCTTTTTCAGCAATTTAGTTTAAATACGATTGGTATTATGAGAGTGGCTGTGTTAACCAAGTACTTACCATTCGGCTTCCCAAAACAGTTTTTTAATCAAAATTTATGATACGCTTGGAAAAACATATACATCAAACTGAAACAATACTTCAGGAGCACAAATAATTCATACTTCATCAGAAAATATGCAACTAAATAACACACAGAGAATCCAGCTTCCATGTATTTTGCAAAGGTCGATCATAAAACACAGAGAGAGAAGGAAAAATGAAAAAAGAAGTGACACAGCTAAAATTGGTACATCCATTTGGTCATGAGAAGAGGATTATGAGACTTACTTTGGTAAGGCATGGTTTTAAAATGGGGTGAGTCAGGTGCTTTGGGTATAGGTAATCTGAGAGTTCATAATGAGAGACCTTGCGGCCGAGTGGTTATCACGTCGTACTTTCCTTTAGAGCCTAACATTTTGTGGCATAGGATCGTTGTGAGTAAATATGAGACCCATTCAGTTGAGTATCTCTCGAGTTATGGCTTAACAGCACATGCAAGAATCCTACGAAGGCACCCAATCTGGTTTTCATTCCTTTCCGAAATTTATTAAACTTTTTATTCGGATGGCCTAGTTGCTCATTTTTTGGAGGATTTTTGGTTAATGGAGACCACTCTTTACCCCCTTTTCCCTTGGCCTCACTTTCTGTCTTCTCTGAGACTGAAATTTGGTTTCAATCGCTCCATGTTACTTCCAGTTATAACTTATTACCAAGGTTTCCTTTTGTCCTAGATCAAGGAATGTCTGTATGTGGAGCCCCAATCCTTCAAGCATGGGTTTTATTCTAGTTTTTCTTTTTCCCTTTTGTCTGGTTCCTCCCTTCCAAACCCCTCTTTGTTTTCCTCCGAGTGGAAGGTTAGAGTCCATGAGAAGGTTTTCTATTTCTTTCCTAGAAGTCTAGAATGGGAGGATTAACGCTATTAATTTTATTTGAAGGGCTTCCTTGATGTTGTTGGGTATACAATGGTGTGTCTTTTGGGTAACTTTGCTGCCTTGATTTGGGAGGAATTTTTGGAGACTTTTGATCTTCTCTTGGCTTGTAATAGTTCCTCTCGCTAGATGGTTAAAGACATGTTGGTTCATTCTCCATAAGAGACTAGGGAGTCTCGTGGAGGAGGCCATTTTGTGGAACATTTGAAACAAGTGGATTTTTACAGAGGTGGAGATGTCTTACAAGTTTTGACTAGGAGTGGAGATGTCTTGGGAGAGGTTAGGAAGGACTACATCTAAATTCGATGTCTCCATTGTACTTAGCCTTTGTTTATTATTCTCAACGACTGGAGCCTTTGTTTAATGTTTTGTGCTTGTTTTTTGGGTCCTTGGGTCCCTTTTGTTTTATGCTATTCTTTTTATTATCCGGTTGTAAATCCTTTCATTTGGTCTACGTAAGTATGGTTTCTCATTTTAAAAAATAAATAAATAAAATAAAATAAAAATATTTAATGGTACACCCAGAAACTTATTTGCACTCACTTTCCTTGAAGACCAAGTGAGAAGCCTGCAAGAACAACATAAGTGCCAAAAGCCATTAATGGAATGTACAAGTCTGGTGCATTTATATCATAAATCGGTGGCTTGTACGACAGTCGTCCTCCAATTGGATCAGTTATTCTCGTCCAGTGGCCCTGAAACAATGAACAATTGTAAAGGGGTAAGGAGGAGAGTAGGGACAACAAAAAAATAAAAAAATCAACAAGGGAGAAATTATAAGATTGGTACATACCCTGTGTAGAAATGGAAATAGGACAACCTTCAATTTATTCCTCACATACTGGTCGTTCACTTGGAAGTAGTATTGAGGATCAGAAAAGTACCTACTTATCTGTTCATTGAAAAAAAAGTAAAATTAAAAAAATAATTAAAAAAGTCTAAAAAATGCCTTCTCTCATCTGAGAACAAAAGAATGAAGTAAAACAATTAGGCAAATGCTTAAGAATCTCAAGGTGCTCAATCATTAGAAGGCATTCATCTTTCTTGCAAGATTTCAATCCACGCAAGAAAGAGAACCATTTCCATCATCCTTAAAGAAGAGTAATGATAACGTAATGTTTAGGAAGGATTATGAATGCCAAGTCTTCTTTATCAACAAATTTTTTTTCTTTTTCTTTTTTCCTTTTTTCTTTTCCTTTTCTTTTATTATTATTATTATTATTTTTTATTTTTTTTTTTGGGAAAAGAAACACTTTTCAATTGATTACGTGAAATGTTAATGCTCCTTTCTCCACACTCCCTATTGGTATTACAGAAATCCACCCCAATTTTAGTTAATTAGAAAGGAAGTATGATAACAAAAAGATTTTGAAAAAGTACACCAATAAGGCATGAAATTTATCTAGATCTAGTACCTCTTCCAAACTCGGATACTTCAAATATTCTCTCATTTTTTAATAACCATATCACACACATGAAAGCTGTCGGCACATTAAGCCACAATGTAGACGTCTTTTTCCATTTTTTGAATCTATGTCCACAAAAAAAATAGCTCCACATTTTCTTTGACTAAATCTTCAGACTTCAAGTACCTTAGAGACTTTGATAGTGGAGAAGAGAAATGAACATAACTACGTACTGAAGGGGCAATGAGAAAAAATAGATGTTCTTTTTTTTTTATATGAAACAAATATTTCATTGATGATTTGAAATATACAAAAGGCCACATGGACAATTACAAGAAAGCTTTCCAACTTGTAATAAGATCATTTAGAGAATAGCTACAAAAAGGGGTAGAAACATTTACACCACCCGAGAGCTAAGGTAATAACCCTATCAAAAAATAAATCAAAAGGGAGAGCTTTGTCATTAAAAACCCTGTTGTTCCTTTCCAACCAAAGACTCCAAAAGAAGGCCCAAGCAAACTGTATCCATAGAGTCAGTTCCCTTCTCTTACAAGGGTGTCCCGCCAATATCTGGTCAAGAAAGATAGTTGGATTTCTGTGCAAGGGAGTTTCCCATCCAAAAGCTGCGAGTAGATGGCTCCAAAATCAATATGCAAAATCACATTGAGTGAATAAATGACCCTGTGTTTCTGTTGCTTTAAAACAGAGAAGGCAGCAGTTTAGGGATAGGGTGATGTGGGGGAGTTTTATCTGTAGTCTGTCATGGGTGTTGATCGCCCCATGACTAAGTTCTCAACAGAAGAACTTGACTTTCCTAGGGCAGCTCCCTTGCCAAATTCGAGGGGAGAGGGTGGAGGCAGTGAGATCTTTGTTAGTGGTGAGAATGCGATAGGTAGATTTTGTAGAAAAAGATCTGGTGGTTTCCAAATGCCATGTCCATTGGTCATCAAGAGAGGTGGGGGTGGTTGTATCTAGTATATGGGAGAGGGCCAGCCAATCAGAGAGCTCATCATCTTTAAGTGGTCTGCGAAAGTTGTAATCCCAGGAGGCTGTAGAGTGAGACCAAGTTCAGAAATAGTGGCTTCTTTGTTGGTCGAAATAGCATAGAGATTGGGATAGAGGCTGTCCAGAGTGCCTTGAAAGAGCCATTTATCGTGCCAGAAACTGAGGGCGCTTCTTTCACCCGCTTTGCAAATAGCATATGTCCTGACAATGCTGATTTGCATAGAAATTCCATTCCATGGCCCCTTAAAACAATTTCTACGATTGGATGGCCAGGTATCCGAGAGTGAGCCTTGTATTTGGCCGCAATGAGTCTCCTCCATAGGTGGTTTGGCTCCAAAATAAATCTCCAAATCCATTTAGATAATAAAGCTCAGTTCCTTTGGTTGATGTTACCAACGCCAAGGCCTCCTTCGTGTAGCGGTAGTTGGGTGCGGGTCTAGTTGATAAGATAGGGCTTGCCATTTGAGTTCGATCCCTCCCAAAGGAAATCTCTGAAGATTTTACTAAGACGATCCGCAGCCTTTCCAGGTAGCATGAAAAGGGAGAGGTAATAGATGGGGAGATTTGTGAGGACAGATTGTAAGATAGTAAATCTGCCTCCTTTGGAAATGAAAAGGTTGTTCCATCTACTTAGCCAATGCTGGAGCTTTTCAATTAAAGGGAGCCAGAAGGCTTCCTTTCTATGGTTCCCATTTAGGGGGAGTCCCAAATATGTGCTTGGCCATATCCCAGAAGCGCATGGAGTTCTCTATCTCCATTCCTTTGTAATTAATATGAATGGGGTAGTTTGTAAAGCATTATTGAGTAGAGTAGAAATGGAGGGCATTGATATACCACCCTCTGAGATGCAAGGATACAAACATGAAATAGAAACACAACATGACGCAGACACGGTGGCACGTCGACACGTGGCGACCACGAACACGTTATCGAAACTAAAGTGTTTGTGCTTCTTAGATCACCCTTAAGATAAAAAGGAAATTTGCCAAATGTTCTAGAAGCTTGATGCACTTTTTCACTAATTCAACTAAAAAATGTTTCTCAATGAAAAATTTTTTAATGCACAGACAAATAAGAAACAGCACTAACCATTATCACCAAGTTGTGATCTTGTATTTTTATAGAAGTATTAATCCTTTTTTGAACTAAGTCTTGAATGGTGATAAGTTTGCAAAGTAACTAGTACTCACATTGCTTTGAACATACTCTGAGCTTGATCCAAAGATTTTCTCTCCGTATGCACCCAGTCCACCTCGAATTAGTCCTGATCCGGCACCATAAAATGCATTTCCAAATGGATTTGGCTGAGAGCTTGATGGAGGTTTTGGAGCTGCGGACTGGGCTTCAACATTACTATACATTTCTGCATTTGAAAAAGAAAGAAAAGGTGAACGCACAAAAGAAGCAGTCCTTGTCTCTTTTTCAACAAAAGAGTATTGGATTATCTAAGATGTTTTCTTTTTGCTTTGCTTCCAATTCTATGTTATTTATGTATTGAAAATGAAGGATGAAGCCTGCACTCAAATATTTTCACCAACAGACTATAGCTTTAGTAACAAATCAAAAACATTTTTAATAGAAAAATTATATCAAGACATCTATGTAATTGCAAAATGAAGATTAGGGAATCAAACGTGACCAGTGTGGAACAACAATCTAAAACGAGCAATCACAATAAATGGTAAAAAAATCTGAAACAAACACCATTAACTCAAAGTTTCATATTATAACTGTTATATCATTGACTATATTGGTGGAGTTAAAGTACACAAAACTGCAAGCATCGTTACAGCTAAGCCATAACTTGATCCCGCATTACCTATCACGAAGTTGGAAATAGCCTCTCAACGGGAATTTTCTTAGAATATTGCATGGAACAATCCCCCACAGAAAATTTTTCTTCAACTTTACCAAAGCCACAAAAGTTCCCATAAATTAAGTTAAGCTCTTTACAACGATTTCCAGAACCCAATCAGATCCCAAATCACGACACAGCATTCAACACTCAACCCCAAGACTCCGAATTCACGGAGGACGAATCTTAACAATTCCAAAATAACAAGAGAAGCAGTCGCAACACTAGAATGAGATCTCCAGTTCGATAAGAAAACGAACCAAGAAAGAAGAAACAGCTTAGAGAGTAACAATCCACGCAATTCAACGAAATGAAATACATACACCATATCTTCCCGATTCCGAACAAATCAATTTCCGATGAAGCAAATAAAGAGAAAACATAAAGCGAACCTCTGAAACAGGAGTGACCCAAAGATCAACTGGGTTCGTTTTAGCGGAAATTGGAGAAATTGAAGGGGTAAAACGGACCGGCGAGGGCTTCGCTTCGTGGCGGAGGAAGGGGTTGAAAAGCTTCCGGCGAAGGCCTCGCTTGGGAGAGAAGAAAGCGAGTTTTCTTTCAGTCTGAATCTGAACGTCGGCTAAAGACTGAGACTTGGGGTTGGCCTACTTGCAAAGCATTTTTGGGCACAACATAGAATAAATTGTCCTATATGTCCTCCAAAATTGCCCTATTGTCAAAAATTGCCCTATTGAAATTGGAATTTTCAATTTGTGCCTAATTAAGATAATTTAAAGTTAAATTACATATTTGGACCGTTTTTGGATGGTTTCGTCTATTTGGTCTTTGAACTTTAAAGAAGTTTAATTGATTTTTCGATTATGGTTGTAATAATCCTATATTGTCAATATTTTATTGATGTGGTAGTGGTTAGCATAAGAAAATAGGGGTACGATTGATAAGGCCAAAAAATTCTGTCTAAAATGTATTAACTACTCATATCGTAAAATGCAAGATGTATATGAGAAGATTGAGAATAATTCGATGATGAGACATGATTGACCAAACATGTGTTAGGAATGTGAAACCAACATAGTCTCATGTCAACTACAAGATTAGAATTCACAGGCAATGTTCTTTGTCGGGTTTGGTTCGTTTCTCGTTTACTCACTGTGAAGGTAATGCGTTCACAACCTAACACGAAAATGCAGTTGTTCAACAGTTGGATCGCATTTGGCTTGAGGAAGTTCCTTTTTAATCACTTCTAATTGTTATGTTTCCCTTTCTTAGTTTCGTTTCTCCTATCCCTGTCAAAAAAAAAAAAAACTATAAGATGAGAAGATCTATAGCATATAATTAAGTAAAAGACAATACTCTCTTGATATACATGTGATCCATGGTTGAGTTTTATCAACAATGTAATGCAATATACTTTAACTACACATAGTTAAGATCACACCTAGTAATGTTTGATTATTTAATATAACTATATATAAACTCCAACAATCTCCCAATTTGTACTATAGTTTATGAGACACATCATTTAAGGTACTTACACAACCCAAAACTATTTTGTATGTTCCTTAAACTCTTCAGTGGATGTAAATCAACTAGTATTGTTGTTAATATTTTCGAGAACGAAAGAGAATATCAATGTCGATAACATTTTATACTAAGAGATCTAAGTACATCAGCTTGAGTGGTTCAAAGGCTTTGCAACCGTCTTTTGGTCGTTTTACCTTTCAAACAAAATTTCAATCCATAACTTATTTAGCGATCATGGACTAGTATTTTTAACTTATCAGGTTTTGTATGTTGAAGCCTAAAATTTCATACATGGGTATCATCTTTATTTTGTTGTTTCGTTATTGATTCAAAACAACTCAATATTAAGTAATCTCCTCCATCCATACAAATTGTTGCTCAATCAATACTAGTCATATCTCAAAACCATTCGTAAAATATATCTTTTGAATCCTAATACTATAAAATTTTTTATTCAACAAAGTAGTCGCTAGAAAAACCAATACAAATTACAAGTTTAGAAAAAATAAATGGATTCAAATTACAAGTTTAGTATCCAAACTTTTAAAATGGGGTCTAATAAATTTTTTAAATTTCAATTTTGTGTTCAATACAATGGATCTCTAACCAATAAATCAATTAGATACAAAACTAATAGTTCATATACCTACTAAAAAATTTTCCAAATTCAGGACCAAACTTGTAATTTAACGGGATGTGTTTATTTAAATATCTCATCAAATTGGACCGAACCGCGGCCCAACCAAAACTGGACCGGTTGAAGTCCAAACAGTACCTCCACGTAAGAGGTCCACCAAAGCGAACTACGTGTCGCCCTCTGATTGGTTTAGTTCTAAACGTTGACTTTCTGGTTTGAAATCGGCCCAATCAGATTGCGACACGACATTCAAAGTCGAATCCCCATCTTTACAACCTGAACCCGACCACCGCCACCACCGTCTCTGTTCCCCCTTCTCCCACTCCGTTCCGAATCCTCCCCTCTCTGCCACTTCGATCAAATATCGTCGTGAATTTTTCAGTAAGTTTTGTTTCTAAACGTTCAGCGATGAGTTAATTTGAAATCTTAGTTTCTGAACTGAATGGAGTTTCTGTATTTCCGTTGGGCATTTCGTCGTGCTTTTGATTTTGGGTTTTTTTCCTTGGATGGTTTACGAGGGGTTGGAGTGAGTTTATCGGAGGTGAATCGGGGAATTCGGTGCATTTCTGTTGTTAAATTGGGAGGCTTTCTTTGTTTGGGGGCCGAGAAAAATTTAGGGATAATGTTGAAATTGAAGGAAAATGTCTCTGTAGTTTTTTTTCCCTGTGAAATTAGGAATTGTCTCTGTGTTATGGGTAATTGAATGGGAGAAACATTCGATTTCTGAGCGTCTGAGAATTTCAACTATCTGAATCGGTTTTAGGTTTGGTGACTTGGGTCGTTTTCCTTTACCTTTTGCAGTTACTTTTATGTGTGGAGATCGCAATTGAACTTTTGAAGGATTTATAGTTTGTTGAAGTGATAAACTCATCAATCAATAAAATACAGAAGTTTTCTTGGTTTGGTTTAATCATCTACACCGGGCACACACTGACTCAGTTACCATATCAACTCTCGTGTAATGTCTGGCTTCTCACCCCTGAGTGAACAGAATATGCTTGTACATTATTTTTTGGTAAATTTTCTGCAACACCAGTCTTCAGTTCTTATTTTTGTTTCCATTTTGGTGAAGGAATTTTCTGAAAAAGGATTGATTGTTAATTGCAGTGGAGTTCGGGGTTGATGGTGATAGCGAGGTGGTGGGAAATTCGACTGTGGTGGAGGATAGTAAACCCCTTGATGAAAATGAAACAGGTGTAAGTTCTATCGAAAGGATTTTCGATCAGGACCGAGATGAGAAAATAATTCAAGATTCATCTGGAAGGAATGCGATTCTGGATTCAGTTCCTGGATTACCAGTAGTGCAAGCAGATGAGCCGTATGTTGGCCAGGAATTTGACAATGAGGCAGCTGCTCATGCATTTTATAATTCTTATGCTACACGTGTGGGTTTTGTAATTCGTGTCAGCAAGCTTTCGCGATCACGACGAGATGGGACAGCTATTGGCCGTGCATTAGTTTGCAACAAAGAGGGTTATAGAATGCCAGACAAGCGGGAAAAAATTGTGAGGCAAAGGGCAGAGACGAGGGTAGGTTGCAGGGCAATGATTTTGGTGAGAAAAGTGAATTCTGGTAAATGGGTTGTGACTAAATTTGTAAAAGAGCATACTCATCCTTTATCACCTGGGAAAAGCCGAAGAGATTGCATATATGATCAATATCCGGTAAGATCTTGTTCCCTATTCTAAAATTTGCATATTCAGATCCTGACACTGTGACACATGTTCTTCTTGTAATCTGGCGTGCATAAGTTTTTTTTGGTGCGGTGGGCGTGCATAAGTTGTAAACTGGATTCTCTCTTCTTATTGAAAACAAGAAGTTGTCAAGTGGATTCTTTGGGAGTGATCTAGCTTTTCACTAATAAGCTTTCTACTGTGATTTTATCGGTTAAAAAGGGTTAAAAAGGAGTAAAATGGACAATACGGCTAATAAACCAGTGAAGTATGTATTTTATTTATCTCTGTTGCTTTTATTTGAACCCATGAAAACAGTCCATATGGTGATCTTGTGATGTCCCCCCTTGTTCCATCTTGTTAGTGTTTTGTATTGTATAAGATTTTGAAATATTTCACCAATTAGGTTTTGGAGAAGTAGGCTTCTTACTTCTTTGTTCCAGAAATTGATCTACCGTAAAGAAGGAAAGTCGCTCGAGAACCAACTTTTAACTAAAATTATGTGCATCAAGTGATAGATTGATGATATGGATTCTCTGTGTTGTGCTTTCTATCAATCACATCCTATCTGTTGTTTGATGTGTGCTGTGGGAAAATATGTTGAATTTAGAAGTACAGTACTTGGCCTGTTATTGGAACTTTCAAATCAGAGATTAGTACGTTACGGGCACAGCATTTATTTCTGTCGGGGTGGCCTAAAGCTGAAATCTGACTTCCAGAAGAAATTTGAGGGGGAAGTTGAGGCAGGATTTCAGAATCTAGAACTGGAAGCTTGTGGGAACCATTCTTCTTGTTTGTTGTTTAGTTATCTGCTGCAAGCGAGTAGAGTCATGAATCTGATTTGACCATGTTAATTTTTAATAGAAAACAGAATTTTTCATGAAAAGATGATAAAAGGAGATGAGAAGGATGATACATACTGTGCGCTCAAATCTGATTAGGGCTCCAAAGAACACTTTATTTAACAGGTATAGAAGAGACATCGTAGTTACCAAAAAGAAACTTTTCAATTTTACACCAAGAAGAAGCTGTTTCCCAAGGCCCCGCAAAGTTTCTCTACATCCCCTTTGAATGAACTTCTCTTCCCTTTCAACTACATTTCCAACATGAAGCCTTTGGGACAAAAAAGAGGCCCCTAATGATCAATATAAATTTGAATTAGCCGACTTGATATTTGGACATTATAACTATGAAGAAGACTTTTTGGGTTTTGATTAGACCAGAATGATTGGTGATGTGCAGGTCAATATCTTCAAAGATGATCCAATTTTGATGTGGATGTTGGTACTACGGAAAATTTACCCTAGAACATTAAAACTGTTTCCCTCTTTAGTTTTTGCATTTTGAGCCTCAGATTTGTGTGTTTAGTGGAAAAGCATGTGAAGATATTAATCCTCTGTTTGTCTATTACTCTTTCCTGTGGAAATGGTGGGAGGTCTTTAAAATATTGTTGATTTTGTAAGACAGTGCCCATGCTCCATTTCTCAAGGAGACATCTAGAATCATATTTAGTGTACAGGTAAAATATGCTAAATATATGGTTATGTATGATGTCTGATAAATCGTCAATCAACTCAAAAACTCAACTCAAAAGCTTAAGTTTATGGGTTGCGGAAAATTTAATCTTGTATAGATATCTTAACACTCCCCCTAATTTGTAGGCATGAAAATTTGTCCAAGGCCCAATAAGTGGTAATCAGCATTAAATGAGTAGGAAATGACATTACAGGATTTCGAATACAGGATCTACTACTCTGATATTATGTTAAATCACCAATCAACCAAAAGCTTAAGCTTATGGATTACTGTAAATTTAATATTTTATAGATACCTTAACAATGTTTCTTCCCTCCTGGGATTGCGCTTGACATCATTAGGGAAGCGCTTGACATCATTCTGTCAGCCTGAATTTAAGTATTTTTAGTAAGGAGCCAAAATTAGTTCTTCCATCTTTTCTTTATGCATGTAGTGTAAATTTGGTTATCTTGTTGCATAGAGGACACTCTTGATCTTACCTCTCTTGCTAGTTTGAACAGTATGTGGTTTGGCATCTTTGGTTTTTCTGCTGATGTGTGTTAAGATTGTATAGAAACAGAGTTTCTGGAAGGTTTACTCAAGGGGATGTTAGAGCTCGGCTTACGGAATCAACTTCCCGGCCAGAGTCCGTGTCCCTTTTGAGATCTCATTGGCTTCTGTTTCTAGCTTAAGCTTTTGACTCTTCTTATAACCCATGTGTTGATAAAGATTAGTTATTATAAGCCATTCTTTTTGTAGTTTTTATTATGGGATCATGAAACAACCTAACATGAAGCTCGCCATAAAGGGTGTTATTAGATAACTCAATCAAATAACTTGTTTTCCATAGTCTTACATGTCAAAGTATTGCTCCTCTTCTCTTGCAGAACGAACACGATAAGATACGGGAACTATCTCAACAGCTTGCAGTGGAGAAAAAGCGATCGGCAACATATAAAAGGCATCTAGAAGTAATATTCGAATACATTGAGGAGCATAACGATAACTTGTCGAGGAAGATCCAACATATAGTAGAGAATGTGAAGGAGATGGAAAGCATAGAGCAACAGAATCACAGATAGTATTTGGTTTATACCTTTTACACTTGCAGTTTGGGATTCAAAAATGAAGATGAAGAAATTGATTGGTGAGAAATCATTGTGGTATGTTCCAGCATTTAGATGTCAATTCAGTTTCACAAAAAATGGAGTATATTTGGGCATGGCATTCGTTGCATGTAGATCGCAATGTATGTCATGTTTTGTACAGCATTCAAACGATTTGTATCTTATTTTCATTAGTCTCAGTTTTTTCTTAATTTTTAATTTATGTTCTTCAAGTTATTTTGATGAACTTTATTTTAGTACTATGAGGATACGAACCCCAACTTTTAGGAAGGTTATTGGTGCCTCGACAAATTGGTGATTTACACGAAAAGTTGTTAGGAAAATATAGTTGTTTCGAACCTCATAAGAAAAAGAAATCACCTGTCCGAAAATATATTGTAGACATGAAAAGTTATCAGGAAAATATAGTTGTTCCGAACATCATAAAAAAAGAATGCTACTTTTACGAGTTTGGTAGGTGACTTCGTTATAGAAACCTTTAGGCTAACTTTTGTAAAGTATTTTGTGAGAACTTACCTTCTCTCTTATTATGGAGTTCATCAGAATTTATCGAAAAAATTCATCTCTTTTAAGTAAGGTTAAATCATTTAATTAAAACATCTTAGTTACCAATATCTACAAAATTTTTATAAGGTTCACTAATTTCAATCCTTGTGAAAACCGTTGTATGACCTACATAATTGTATCAAAAGCTTAAAAAAAAAATCTCCATTTGAGTAGTATAAATGTGACCAAATTATGCCTAAAAAAGGGGAGTAACATTTCAATCACTATCCTATATATTTTTAACAAATAAGCATAAATCCTAAAAATGAATATTCAATGTCATAAACATTTCATATTTACATTGTTCAATGGTATTTCCTTTTTCTTTTTTAGTACAACAAGTAAGGACGGGAAAATTCGAACTTGATTAGAGATGAGTGTTAATTACGCTGAACTAAGTACGTATTGCAAAATAAGTTATTTTCTTAGTATTTGTGTTTACGCCATTTGGATAATGTTATGTTGTTTGATTTCATTGTATGTCAAATATTATCTTATTTGATTTCATTGTATGTGAAAGGTCATTTGGATAATAAGTTATAATGTCTGACGTCATTTCTTATAGCTACCTAATCAGTACTCTTGAATATGTGCACTATAGAATTATGATAATGTTATAGTTGTTTATTTATGGAATTTCAATTGCATGATTACTTCACGTATTACATGATTTCTTTTTGTTTTAATCAATGAAACAATGCATTAAAAATAAATCATACCACTACCACTAAGGGTTACATGGATGACAGTGCACCACAAATAGGAGTCATAAAGGAAAACAATTATCTCAAAAGATATAAAAACAATCATTACACTTAGCCAATAAAACAGATGATATGTTCAAAGAACTAGAAATATGAACAAATTACAAGCTTGGTATCATCATAATCAATATATGTGTTAGCGTATGATCGTAAAACATAAGGTTATTTTAGGTTATGTTGAATAACTAGTGTATAGCCCATTTTTCGTAGAATAATGTTTATGTCGAGATCGAATATGATTTCATGCCTTGTTAGCTAGTCATTGTTTAGAGTGAGAGTTGCTTCATATGTAGCATTTCTCACATGGTCGTTTAGTACATTAAATTATGAATATGGTCATATTACGAGTAGATCATCGCATAAGTCACAACATATATTCATGTTTATGATACTTCCTATAATTTAACACAATTACATCTTCGAGACTCAAAAAGTTATATTATAAGAACAGCAAATCATGATCTCAAACGCCTGAATATAATGGTACAATATGCAATACCTCATATCATTCATATCTTATAAAAAACATCAAGTAGCATTCGAGGGTCGATGAACCGAATGTAAAAATCAATATATGTTAAGTGTATACTCATACTCTTGCCTTCTCCTTCGAAAGTCATCGTCTAGAACTACATTCTAATCCTAAAATTTCGCAAGCAGATTTGATGGTATATGGATGGAATGTAAGAATCTTACCTCTCTTTATAAAGAGAAGCTTACTACAAATCAAACTCTCCTGTTGCCAATGTCGTTGGACTGATAATGAAAATCGAATACTCCTCAATGTCGTTGGACTGTCACCGACTCACCGGTTAAAATAGAACCCAAACGACCGAAAATCGAAGCCATACAACTGAAAATCATAAACCAATGGTGTGTTGCCAGTGAAAATCGAATGGCAATGGACTCGATTTTCGGTTACAATCAAATGCCCCCGGTGAAAAACTGAAATCCAAGGTTCCTTTTCGCCAGTGCAAAACAAGAATGGAATGGGGAAATTAGGACTGCAAGGAAATCATACATGGCAGGGACAAAGTTTTGAGAGAAACAAATTCTCTGGAACTTTGGAATGGGGGAAAATCAAATGAAATGGCGCCCAAAATTTAGTAATTTCCATTTGGGCTTCCTCCTAAATGAGCCTAACTCTAGACGAAAATGAAAATATTTGTAATTTTTTGACATTTTTAAATTGGGATCCCAAAATGAGTTACTCATGTAGATCTTTGAATCCAAGAACAAAGAACAAAAATAGCTCAAAAACAAGCCGAGACCCTCTCTGTTTAACTAAAGAAGAGTCTAAAAGAAAAGGAATACAAATCTTACAGTTGGTAATCTCATGTGTTCTGTCATCCTTAGAAGAATAACCTGTGAAGGATTCTTCTACTTTCCCATGTGTGATAGTATCCTGCTTATCAAGGCTTCTTTCTTTCCAGACACAGGAAGATCATGTGCTGTCAAATAATACTTCAACTCCACTACTGACAATTCTTTCAACTGCAAAACATTAAGAAGACAACACATTTTTTTTCATAACATTTGAGATTCTAAAGTACATTTCCAAATTAGAGACCCTCAGAAGTATATTAAGTGGTGGAGTCAGAAATTTTCATTGGGGGAGGCAAACTTTTACCATCTAACTTGGGGTTAATAAGGGAGAAAATTTTAATCAAAACGAACCAAGAGGGGGAAGAAGAAGTTTTCACCTTTCCATTGTCTGCAAGGTCAGCCCAGTCGTATTCCTTACACTTTTGAGCAGCACTCTCCGATATGGCTTTTCTCTTTTGTGCAGCTTCACTCACTTTTCCTTTTCCAGCTTCCTCTTCTTCGTAATTTTCCCCATATACCGATAGCTTGAATTCTTCTAAAGTCTTCACGACTCCAGGTCTATGTCAAAAGATGCACGGAAAAACATCTTGTAAGCAGATAAAATGAGCAAAAACAATAGGCTTTACAATTCCATAGTGATTAAGACTCCGAGAGAGAGAGAGAGCTACATAATCATACCTGGCCATTCCTTCTTCATCAGGGACTGTTTCGTCTTTAACCTCTGGCATGTCATCTTCTCCCAGGGCTAAAGCCTGCAGTACTGCATAATGTCTCTGCAAGGCTGAAAGTTGCGTCCTTCATTATACATCAAACCAAAGGAGTCTCTCAACATAAAAGCGAAAAAGCTAACGTTGAAACCAACTTCACTAGGAAAGTGTGATGCCTTCAAGCCACAACGTTCGAAATAAGGGAAAAGAATGACAGTCATTTGGGAAGAAAGAAAAAAAGGGTTCCTTACTGTAGTATTACAACATTGAAGTTCAAACTTCACCAAAGTATATTTTTGGACTGGCGTCTATTTCTCAATTAACACGGCACCATAATCATCAATCTTTTTTAAGTAATACTCTATGGTTTGCGATCTGATAAATGAGATTGAACCTATTTTCCACCCGTTCGAAAGGTGTTTAGTTGTACACTTGGTTTATTATCCTGTATTGCAGACTTATCATAATGTAGCTCACTTTGGAACCACACTTAAGCCAGAACCGATGCTCTCCACTTTACCAACATAAAACAACCACTTCTTTATTTTAAAGGAACTGCTAGCATCCACTCCACACCATTTGCAGATGAAATATGAGTCAAAATACCGTTTATTATTCGAACATAAAATCGAATAATTTGTCGCCTATCCATAGAGAATTAGAATACTTTTTCATCCAAGAGAAAATGTCTAAGAATTTCAGGAATGTGATCTCTTTTTTATAAGAAAATGGGAATATGATTATATTAACTTACACTATTTAGGGCGCGGGTACCTCAAGGTATAGAGAAGCAAAGCTCTCAATTAAAAATAATAATAATAATAATAAAATGAATAACTTACACAATTTAGTATTTAGCTATTTGCTTCGTGCTTGAGAAAGTTGTAATTATCTTACTATTTTCTGTGAATTTCCATTTCAAATTCTGGTTCCTATCAAATTACCATACATGAATTCGGGAACATACCAGGATTGGCAAACTGGCAAACTGAAAAGTCTTTCAAGTCGATGCGTTTAATTAAAGCAGCAGCCTTTTTTATTTGGTCATCAGTTGCTTTAGATGCAACATCAGGATCCGGATGAAGCTGCATCACATTATAGTACTAATTAGCAGCTACCTTGAGAAAACTACTCTAACCAACTAAAGCATTTGTCTTGCCTCCTCAACATGTCGGATATCATCAGCATAAGGCAAATATAACATGTTCATTCCTGGTGGTTCAACCTGCCCCCCAGCAGTAACGATCTCATCCTGTGAAGTTACAAGAGGACAAGTGCAAAACTATGAAGTTAGAACAAGAGACAATTGATTGTACCAAAAACTTACTGCAATAGAATGAAAACTGAAAGTTCTAAATGCAACAATAACAAATTTCATTCCGAAGTTTCAAAACAACTTCTCGAAATTCAGTGATCTGATTGATCTCCATTAAATCAATATCACAGGTGCAAATTGGAAACAGAGATGACCAAGCATCAAAAATTGTAAGTATAACATTAAAGGAAAGATATGTGCATTAGATTTCTCAAGATACTTAACAGACAGTGCTACTACAGAATCTAATATTTAAGCTGTTACAATGTTGTACAGGAAGTCCGAAATATCATGAACTCAGAATGCACAACACTCCCACAACAATTTGTACAGTGAGTTTATTTAAAAAGATAGTGCTAGTCATTTTGTGATCAACATCACAAGGTGAATCGTACATATTACAACCATTATTTCCCGTAATCCCATGTTCTTATTAATGAATTTTTTTATATAGAAAATAATAATAAAGACCCAACACTCTATATGAAGCATTCCTGATTGTAAAAACTTAAGAATAAGGTAGGAACAGTTTCGTCTTACTTGGGCCACAAGAGCAACTAGTTGGGGGTGTGATGGACTGCCGAAAAAAGCAACTGCAAAACTGGGTAATAAATAGCGAATGATTATTGCATAGAATCACATCAATTACAAAATTGAAAAACAAAATCTACCATTTACCAATGATAAAGGGGATTATATAATAATTTCAGTGACATAAGTCAACACTCGGCGATAATATACAACTCCAGGTAGAGACTGTGCGAACTACAAATTACAACAAATGAATATATAATCAAATCTCTCCTAATTTTTGCAGAGAATTCTAGGTATGAAACATTTACAAGGAATTTCAAACTTAAAATTTATTCCCAAAGGATATAGTTAAAACAAGAGATTAAAAAATGCCAATAAGCTGCATCTGACTACATACTTCCAACAGCTTGAATCAATTTTTTTAAATGATTTCTTCCCATTAACCGCTCGGACATCAACCAGGAAGAATAAATCCCAAGTTCTTTATTTCTTTTTTGACAAGGGAAGAAGACTTTTCAATGATATGAAAAGTTAGTGATAATATACCTTCCGAGCTTTTTGATAATCTATAATCAATTCCTTTCCTAGTACCCTATCCCAAGTGGAAGTTTGATAATCTATAATCAATTCCCTTCCTAGTACCCTATCCCAAGTGGAAGTTGTATCCTTGCCCGTACAGTTCTTAGAGGATTCAATTTTATCAGATTTCTGTGAATTGTAGTGTAACAGCTCATTTACATCTTTTTCTTTCCCTTTAAGTTGTTCAAAAAACAAGATCCATTTTGTATACTAAGGGATTCTTGAGTTTGGGCCAAAGAACAAAACCAATACATAGCTCCAAGATAGAAATGTAGAACTGAAAGCAGTCTTTGTTTGCAGGAAAGAAATACAATTGCAGCAACCATCTTTATAGAAAAATAATAGAAATAATAATATAGGAAATCCCTTCACTATCATCCCCATAAAGGAGTAAACCGTCTCATGCTCAAACCACATTTTCCCCCTACCACTAAAAATGAGTACTCTGAATCTCTTAAACCTGAGCCCTTGCAGCTACTACTTTCTCGATTAATCTTCTCTAGCTACTAGCCTTCCCTCATGATTTCCTACGTAATTCTGATTGATATTAGTAGGAACCTTACCTAACTTGCCTCGCCACTGTAGGAGCCCTTCTGAACATATCATTAAAGGATACTTGTAATAATTGCTGACTCTTGGGAGAAGGCAGGAGCTCTCAAATAATAGTGTACATTTCCTAGTTTTGTAGCTTGATTCTTACGACATTTGCTGAAATTCATACCAGATGGACAATCTCCCTCCATAACCAAATCAAAGACTTACCCAATAAAGGACATAACCAAGCCTAAGCACACTTACCGTTCTATCCCATTTAACACCAAAGCAACCTTACCACCTGCATGTTGCAGAGTTTTGAAAAGCATGCCTAAGTGTTCCAAAAGCAACGTCAAGAAGCAAGGTGCCTTCATAACATGTGCCTCAATAGAAGTTTTAAATCTTTTATTAAAAACTATGAAATACTCCTTAATAATATGCATTTCTCTCTACAATTCTCTTTACACAAAGCTCTAACTTCTAAACTTTTTATTATCTTATTATTCACAATACTATACTCTTTCACGTATAAAAAAATTATTCACATTTTCCAAATGTGCGCCTAAAAAAGACTTCACTTTTCTTTGAGCTTCGCACTTAACCACAGACTATTGTACTTTAGTGTGCCTCAAACATCAAAAAATAAAGGTATGCTGACAAATATACAGCTCTAATCACCGTAAAAGGAAGGGGGAAAAACTCTGCTACTATAAAATATGCATGACAAACATAAAGATTTTTGGGCCAATGGAGAAAAACAATGTGATTAAATAGATAAGATAAGGATGGGGTTATATGTACAAACCGATCAAGCTTCAACATGGATCTGTGGAGGGCAATGAAGATGCAAGTGCTACCACCCATTTCCTATGATAAAGAAGAACCGTCAAAGCCAACAATCATATGGCACATTTGCACAAACTTCCTTCCAATCAGTAATGACAAAATATTGAGGATCATGAAAGACAGTCACATGTATTTCCCGACATTAGAAAATATATGTTGCATTCTTTATGCGAGTGGTTGTCAGAAAGAAAGAAGTGGCCACCAGCATTCATAGAGAGAAAGAAAGACATGAAAAGCATCAAAAAACCTAAAAGGTGAAAGAATGTTCAGGAGGCAGCACCTAATTATACACAATTTAGAAAAATGACAAGCTTCCAACAAAGTCTAATCTCCTGAGAATATAAACATAAGCACCAAATGGAGATGTAAAGGGAAGAGAAAAAAAGATACAATGTAACCTCATCACTAGGATATAAAAATGTTGATGGCCGTAAATTGTGATAATCTTTTAAGCAACTCAGTGGCTTGAAACCTAGAAGCCGAAGATGCCCAACAGAGACTCTCTTGATCTCAGATAATTCCTCCCCAGAGAATTTAATTACCTGACTAGATATTAAACAAAAAGATTTCACTGAAATTCACCAAGTAATATACAATATATTAGTCATGCAACAAAGCATAAATAATTAGCAGTTTCTATATGTGTTGTTGCTTCAAATAATTTGCCTAGTTCCAATTCCAACAGAGTAATATAGATGATAATTTGCCAATAATTAGCAGTTTCTACGAAAGCTTCTCTAGCGGTTTTGTTTCTGTTGCTCATAAATAATTCTAGGTTTTTGTTGCATGCAAGAAAATTCTAGCCACAATACCAAAACATTAACTACACGAAGTCAATATTTTCATGACCAAAAAGATTGGCAAAGATGTAGGATAAACAATATGTTAGGACATAAACAGGGAGTCCTCTAATGAATTATCCTATAAGTATTTAATCTTGGATGCTTACACTTCTTAGATCTTTCTGTTAACATGGTTACATTTTGGCATCGGCTTACATTAATTGAAACCGTTTGGCTTGGTTATAATTTCCTTACTTTTGTCTCTTTCCACTACTTGTAGTTTTTAGAATAGAGAAAAACATACAGATATATTTGCACTAATTTATTGGAACAATGCCATTCTTTTGCTCTACATTATCTCCATTTTTCTTTCTTATTATCCAAGGAAAAAATTATTTGGCAAAGAAAAAATTAATTTACAGAAGTTTTACATTTTATATTAAGAAAGGCTAAAGTCTATAAGACTTACTTTTTATAAAGCTGAAATCGCTTTGAAGGTTCCAGAAATAATGCACCTGTATCCGCACAAATGAGTGACCTCTCTGTCTGCATAATTCCAATAAAAACAACTTTTGACTCATTATACAAGTCCTCCATGCTGAAACATGAAAAGAAAAACCTAAGATAAAACGTAATAGAGTGCAAAAAGCACATACTTTAAAATTATTGAGCAAGTCAATATTTAGAATGACTGTTTGATTTGATTCCTTATCAATAGCCATTGAGGATCATTTAAGGGTCATTGGATCACATGATAAATACAACTTAATATAATCAATTTGTGCATCTACAACCAGAACAATGAAACTTAAGCAGGATACTATCACCTTTAATGGACGATTTGTGATGGAATCAAGCCAAGTAATTGCTCCTATAAATCAAGACAAGGAAAGTAATCTCAATTACCAAAGCCACAAAGTAACATGTAAAAGCAAATGCTTCCAACTTAAGTATATCGGAATATTGTTACCAGGAAGGGTGGGACGAATCAATGCATAACTATTAACATCAATTGACAATCTATTGGTGATAGAGAATTTGAGCCTTCTGACTATACGCTTCTTGAACATTCGTTTCTTCAGTTGATCCTTCATATCTTCTAATCTGAAATTTATGGTTGACAAGAAAATATGTGGGAGAGACGAGTGAAAGAATTAAAGGATGGGAGTAAACTACAAAACACGAGAGCAACTATATCATGTGAGGCACTCATATTATTCTCACTGCATATAGAATACCAGTCACAATTTGCACCATGCACCAGAAAGTAAATACAACCAATAGTCAGAGGAATGGAAAATTCAGAAAAAAAATAAATCATGTAGGGACCAAATAGCAGAACAAGCATATTACAAAGGTAGATTGTGCATATTTCCCCTATATCTTTATTACACTAATAAATAAACTTGTGAGTTGCACATAATATAGACCATCATTTCTGGAATATTTACACAACACATGACTGAATCAAATATTATGTGGATGATTTTTCACAAAATTGGACCAACAATTTTTTTTTTTTTTTTACTGTATTGAATATAACAAAATAAATGTGTTTTGCTATTTTTATTATTAACAAATCAAACATTTTCAGCATGTTGGTGTGCTTGTTGGGCTTAAAAAAAAACCATATTGTTTCATGACTAGGGGCTGGGATGGTGTTTTCTTTTGTAATTTTTATAAGAAACAATCTGATTGAATAGATACAATTACAAGGCAGGGGGGTGAAAAAAGTCCAGCCAACAAACATTACAATAATAAAACTCCAACCAACAATAGGGGAAGATTTTTGTGGCAAGCCTGTTTCTTTTGCTATCTTGTGGGGAATTTGGCTTGAGAGAAATAATAGTATTTAGGGAGATGGAGAGATCTAGTGAGATTATTTGGGAGCTTATTAGTGTGGGGTTCGGTCTCTAAATTCTGTTATAATTATCAATTAAGCTAGATTCTTTTGGCTTGGAGCCCCATTCTCTAGAGGTAGCCTTTGGTTGGGCTGTTATTTTTATGTCTTTGTATATTTTTTATTTCTCTCAATGAAATAATGGTTTCTCATTAAAAAAAAAACAATAATAAATTCCAATTACGACAAAAAGTAATTAAACTATAATAGAAAGAAATTTTCAACTTGCACCAAGTGGCAGCAACAAATAATCTTCTCCCATAGGTAAGACTTAAAGAAGGGATTTTTCCTAATCCGAGAAAATTCTATTGTTCCTCTTATTCCAAAAATATCCAAAGAAAAGTTCTTATAATATTTAACCATAGAAACTTAGGGGCCATTAATTTTAAATGCCTGGGAATAAGATATTTAGCATGGGAATGTTATTAAATTTTCGTGGTAACAAATGAGGTTTGTATCTGTTTTATAGGATTAATCCTTGAAATCTTATATGCTTATGATACATAAAATGAACTGATCAAAATAATTCCAAGTCATTAATATAAATTGATTGATTATAAATGGTAACTTTCACTCATCAATGAAAAATTTAGCTTCTTTCAAAAGAGAAAAAGAGAATAACTAATTATAATTATTGAAACATGAATACTTATACTAAATTATTTTAACTTGTTTATTCATTATTTTTTTTTTAACAAGAAGCGACTTTCATTGATTGATGAAAATAACCTCCTAAAAGGAGAAAAGAAAAAACCAATAACCAACCGAATAAACTGGGCTAAAACAGCAGCCTCCAAAAAATAAAGAAACGAGAAGCAAACCAAAGAACGCCCATGAACTAACCAGAAAAAACTGGTCTAGGGATGAAGGGCTGGGAGGTATATTTTGAAGCCCCCATTGCAGTGGGAACTCCTCCCAAAAAACCACAACCAAACCAAACTCAAAATTATTCCTATCCAAAAAAAAAAAAATCAGCAAACCAAAGAACCAAAGGCAACAAATCTAAAAACTTCAAGCCCTTTTGAAATTGTAATCGTCACAGTTGCCAATTTTGTAAAACAAGAAGATAGAAGGAAATGATAGTATTACATACTAGCATTAATGCAAACAAGATACTCTCCCATTTTCATTTGCAGTATATTTTAAAAATAAATAACATTTTCATTTCCCATGATGTTAACACTAAACACACCACAACATAACATCAATACCATGAAGTACAAGTAGGCAGAAAACGTACCTATCTCCTGCTGAAGGTATATATTGAGCAAGATCACCCTCTTCTAATCCAATCAAATCCTAAAGTCCAAAATATTGAACCAGTTTGTAAAATGATGAACATTACAATCGTTTACAGACTGATAACATCAACTCCAAAGATACACATACACCATAAAAGAGGGAGATATTAAACTGCTCATTAGGGCAACTCAGGGGGAAAAGTTCAATTGAAATCCCGAGATCTTGAGCATCCTGGAAAAGAGGAACAGATAACTCTCAGCACACCTACTTCCACAAACAAACAAAATATCAAGCATTTAAAAACAAATGCACCTACCTTAGCTCTCTGTAATGTAGTTCTTATCAAATCAAACTTTGTAGCACCTTTGATATTTCCAAAAGGGTCATCTTCATTTGTAAACAAAAGGATCCGCTTATCAACTGTCCTTGCAGATCTGAAACAAATTGTTTGTGAAAACACTAATCAAGATAGCATTTCTCTTTTGTGTGTGCCTGTGAAGGGTGGGTGGGGAGGGGGTTTCACATTCCACCAAATATACTTTCTATATTGGTAAAGGAATCCATTGAATCGTCTTGTATAGCAATGATCATTACCCTTTCCGCAGCAGTGCTTGCGCTACCCATAGAGCATTGTAAAGAGAATTCTCACGAGAACCTGAGACAATGCCGTACTGACTTCCAATCTCTTTCATAAACACTTCTGCAAAAAGATTAGTAATTGCAATAAAGAATCAGATATACCTCAATTACAAATCATCGACCATATAAAACAACAATCTCCTGTAATAATTCAGACAATTACAAGCTACAACATATATCTAATAGAGTGGATCAATCACAAATTTCAAAAAAACACGTCATTCCATGAACACTGTTTTCTTCTAAAGAACAAGATAAAGTTATATGAAAAACAAATAAGGGGCCACCAAAAACAAGCCCAAAGCAATGGAGCTGACAAAAAATATCAAAACTACAGAAAATATCTCCAAAAAAGAGCCCAGGCAATGTAAGTACAAATTTTCTGCTACTCTAAATAACTATTACGTTAAATGATTGGCACAGCATGATTATTTTCCTTTTTTTTTTTTTGTGGATTTAGCAGGCTTTAATTCGCTGCGCCGGGCAAGTAGATCAAAGGCAAAGCAATTCAACATTCCTGCAACAAATCTTTGCCTCTCAATCAATCAGATGCGAATCGCCGCTAATCCATGAAGGAGTTAATGGCAAAATCGCTGGAGGCATTACAATGAAACATTGCAAAAACAAATCTGTGGAAAGAAACTAAGATGAGGAAGATGAGTACACTTCGCGCTTCTGTCAGTAAGAGTAAGCTATCAAGACAAGCTGCCACCATATCATCTACATCCCATTCTAGACATCCAACATCAGCAATTCAAAATTTTAAAAATAAAAAAAAATAAAAAAAATCCATCCAAACAACATTCACATCTTTTCTTTTCTTTTTTTTTAACATCTTGTCTCAATTACAATATATCACTAGAAAAATATATATAATGCAAAATTGAAGTGTTGCAACCAAAGTTTTAAATGTCGATGTCGATGGAAATATCGATGTCTCAATTTTATGGAAATGTCGAGGAAAATATCGATAAAATGTCGATGTCGATGGTTATTTCTAAAAAGTTTATAAAAATAAAAAATTCATATAAAATATTAAAATTAACAAATAAGCATTTCACCCTTTCTAAATAAGTTTAAAATGGTTAACATTAATATTATATCTATATTAGTGATATTTTATTAATATTTTTCATATTTTGTCGATTTTTTGGTAATACTATGGAAATATTGATTAACCTCTCATATTGATGTCGAACCTATGGATACATGAAAATGTGGCCAAACATCTAAAGAATTAATTTTCTAAAACTACTCAAAGAAATTTTTTATTCAATATCAAAAATTCGCAATTACAAGACCTTATGCCTCTAATTATAGATGATATCAACAAACCAAGTAACTAAAAAAGTCACAAAACAGACTAAAAAAATAACTAATCCAACAACTAGTCATCCCTGCAACCCAGTTATGTAGCTACCCTCTATACAGTCAATGGTTTTCAGAAGCCTTGCCGTATATTCAATATCAAAAATTCGCAAATACAAGAGCTTATGCCTCTAATTATACATGATATCAACAAACTAAGTAACTAACAAAGTCACAAAACAGACTAAAAAAAGAACTAATCCAACAACTAGCCGTCCCCACAACCCAACCACACAAGTAAGTTATGTAGCTACCCTCTATGCTGTCAATGGTTTTCAGAAGCCTTGCCGTAGGTCGATCAAGATCTTCTCGTTCAGAGACATTAAACACAAAGACACCATTTAGATCCTGCAAATTCTTCTTTTCCCTCTGAAAATAATTCAAATTAAAAAAATTTAGGCCTCAACTTCCGACATGATATGTATGGATAGATAATAATATCGGAACACTTAAGCAGGATTACATTCAAGAAACTATGATGCTGGGCATATTTTCTTCAATTACAAAAAGAAGGAACCTGGACACCACAAATTGGAATATAAAGTAAGGGAACTGCATGTCATAAATTTAATCCCACATTCCTATTCTATTCAATTCCCTTTTAGAGCATAATTACAAAACGAGGGTGACAACATGCCTGCCCCTACTTTAAGAGAAATTTGGAGATTAAAAGAACTCTACAATGAGGTAGGTTTTAAAAAGTGAATAAAGCCTCTTGGCAAGATGTCTTTTTGTAACCCCTTGCCTCTATATGGGCTTTGCCTTTTGTGCAAAATTTTTCTTATCAATGAAGTCGTTTTGTCCTGTTCTAATAATAAACTCTGGAGTTTATTATTATGATCACCTCGTCCATAGTCCTTTCCCCTTCCCGTCGTGTTATTCGCAAAGAGAGTCCTAAGATATTGGCCATGTTTTGCTTAGGTGCCCTATTGAAATTAGGTTCTGTGAGACCCTCCTCTCAACTTCCAATTGGTAAGTGGCTTTGCCAATGTGTCAAAGGTTCTCTGGAGTCTTACTTGCTCGATCACCCTTTCAAAAAGGAATAGAAGACTCTCTGACTACCATTAATTGGATATAAATTTTGGAATGGTCGGAAAGACATAATAAGCTCTTCAATGATAAAGAAAAAACCATAGATATCTTCCTTGACAGTGTTTTTGGCTGCCTTATCATGGTGTAAATTATATCCCTACTTCAACCGTTAAAACTTATACAATTGTATTCCAATTGAAAGAAATTTTTGTAATCTTTCTTGGTTCGGGGTTTGGCTCTCCTCTCCTTTTGTGTAATTTCACACTACCTATGAAACTACTGATTTCATATCAAAATAATCTGAACATATCTCTTCATACTGAAATAAATAAAAAACAAAGGTAGAGGTCCAACAGGTCAAGTACTCTCGAATTCATACAGGAAACCTAAGTAAAGTTAAATCATGTTTTACCAAGTTAACAACATACTGTGTTAAAAAAGCATATAGCAACTTCATCATAACTTCTGTTAATGATTTGCGCCTTCAATGATTGCGAGATGCAGCTCAAAGCAACTTGGAAATGAGTTTCCTGCTTTTGATCTTCCTGGAAGCCAAAATTGTTTTATTCATCACATTCTGGATATAAAAATAAACAAATAGAACAGAAAGCATGAAGCACTCTCAAGCCTGGAGCAAGGACCCAATATATCCATTAAAGCATAAAAACAAAAATTACTTGGAATAATCACTTAAAGGAACATGATAAACTGAAAACTTCACACCAAGTAACAAAGTAGAAACAATTATCAAGATTAAAAAGAAGAATATTAAGAAGTTTTTCATATGCGCCATGGAAGACAACACTACTAAGCATACACTAAAGTAATGAGAAATTTTCTCCCCCATCGTGCAATAAAATTCCTAATTTTTCTCTTTTCCAAACGTCAGCCCCCACTATCTTCCAGATCATTCCCTGGGGAGGTCCAGATCGTGGAAAAATCAGTTGGTTTGGCGAGAAGGACTATGGACGAGGTTTAATCCAGCAGTACCATATTTCAAGATATCAGTCTTTTTTCCCCTAATACAGTAACATAGTACCATATAACGTTCACTTCAAAGGTTTTTCATTTTAAAAAAGAAAAACATATAACGTTCGAAATAAAATTCGAAGAGCTTGTGCACTGATAAATTGGTGAAGCATGTCAGCCAGCATTTACAGAACCACAATCAGCTCAAGAATTGAAACAAAGTAAAAGTAAAGTATGAGGAGAAGCAAAGAGTGTAAAAACTCACCGAGGGGCAAGTGGTGCTGAACATTTTAGGGGAAGCATCCACCAAGTAAACCGCGAGTTCCTTGGTCGACTCCCTTTCCTGTTCTCCAAATTAAGTGCAGAAAAAACGAACAAAACAAACGAAACGGATTAAGGAGGAGATGTACAAACAGAGAACGCATGCATGATCTTTTGTGGGCATGAACCTGAAAGAGTGGATTGTCAGGATCGTCATCGTCGTCTCTGAAAACCTCATCTGGGTCCAAATCCATGCCGATTTTGGGGGAACTGCGACTGAGAAAACAAGTGCTGAAGAGTTTTTTTCCTCTCTTTCTGAACAGCTTACTGCGTCTCTTGCAAGTTTCGTGAGACTTCTTAGAGACGAAATTGACCAAACTGACTCCTTGGGTTTACAAAACTGACAAAAATTTGAAAACAGAGTTTTTCAAATCCATAAATTTTGGAGAATGGAAAGTTGCCATTTTTTACTCCGAAAGGTTTTTGGATTGGATTTTTGAGCCATTTTGAATTTTTAGATTTGTATGAGACGAAAAGTATATTTAAAATTATCTTTTTATCCATTTATTTTCACATTGGTATAGAACAAAAACTTTGCACCCTCTTTTCATTCAATTCTTTCTTAAAATCTATTTGCATACTAATCAATCGACAAACTTAGAAGGAAAAAGAAAAATTATGAATCGATTTACAGACAAACCGTAAATGAAAACGATCCCGACTTTTTTTCTTCCACAAATTTTGGCCATGATTTCTTGTTCGGGTGAGGGGAGGAAAATAATCAAGACAGACTTTTGAGTTTTGATCGAAATTTGTGAATGGAGTCAAACGACATTTTGACTGGTTTTTTGGGCAATGCTTTTGTCATCAATTTGGTTTTTTGGCATAATTTTATGTTTTAACCCAGATCTGAGAACTCGATGTTATGGAAATGGAAACGCAGAGGTCTCAATTTTATAGACTTTTTTTTTATATTGTAAGTATTTTTTAGTACTTATATCAAGATAATTATCTGACTCTACTATATTTGTTTACCAAAGAAACTAACAGTTATTTATGAAAAAGTCATGAGAGTATTCAAATTAACAAATAAGCATTTCACCACAATTATTTCTACATATTTTGTTGATTTTTTTTTATATTTTTCTTTTTTCTTTTTGTAATATTATGAAAATATCGATTTACCTTAATCCTAGTGGACGGATGTTTGGGACGACTCTTTGACAAAAAGAAAAGTCAAATGTTTGTGCGATAAATGCCTTAGCATGCAGCAAAGCAATATGTCACTTTCCCGATGGGGAGACCTTAGAAAGCGTTTGTGAAGCACTCAAATGACTTTTAGTCTAATATTAAAGCAAGGTTTAACTTATAGCTCGACTTAAACTTAAAGTAGAAGCAAGTCGACTAGAATTACAATGGATATAAAAGACACGTATTTTATAATTTCCAATTTGGGTTTAAGCTCACATGGATTTTCTTTTTTGTTTTACTTAAAAGACTTTGTACCAATAGACATGTCGTCCTTACTTGTGTAATCAATATCTTTCCTTCAAATAAAGGACTAACGAGACTCTACTCAAATATTTATCCACCAGTTCAGAGGACACATCAAAGACTTACTCTTATCCAAGTTGACTATTCTTTTTCGAAGATCATCACATGGCTTATAGAAGCAATTTACAAGATGATTTACGCCGACGCTCTTTGTGTCACATACCCTTAACAATACTCTTGTCAAACAAAAATCTAAGGCAATATTATTAAATATGGGGCTCACATGACATAGTTATGCTTTAAGGTTATATTCAAAGGGCTCATATTAATAGAGACGATGTTCTTATATTCTAAAGATCTTCTCTCAACTTCTAGGTCGATGTTCTTACATATCCCACAAAAGTGACATGCATGATAATGGCTTGTTAGATGTATGCATATGTAGTTGCGAACACGTTTGTGACTAAGTATAATCAATAAGTGAGCATCAATATATAATTGTAATTCATAATGCAATTCAAGAGGACTCGATTAGAAGATGGAGAACGTTACCTTGAGTTCAACGAACTCTAAAAATTTTATGATATAACTATTTATACTAGATACACGTAAGGCCAACCGTTGAGGTAGAATCATGGTCTAAGATGATGGGACCATGACATTGGCCATCATCATGAGACAAAAATGTTAATTTTGAATGAAAATTTTATAAGAATGTATGAGAATATTTAATTTTGTATTAATTTTAATATAAATAAATAAATATATTCATTTAGTTTGAATTTAATTGACATATCAATTCCATGGGTAAAAAACTCACCAGGACAAGGTTGAAACTTGAAAGGTGCTTCATCTTGGCAATGTTGTTCATGCAACTCATTTTGTAAAAGATTAAATGTATAAAAATTAGTACCTCATGTTTGATGTAGTTTTTAAATTCGTTCCCAATTCTCTAAAAGACACAATTTCATATTCCATGTATTTTTTTTTTTAAGAAAAAAATCTAGTATTTAGGTCACAGAAATGTTACAATCAACTAAAATATATGACGTGACAACAAAATATATTTTATTAACTAGGTTAAAAGATATATATATATATTAGTATAATAAATGTGGGGATGTAAGATTCCAACCACTAAGAAAGGAGGAAGATGTTTGATGTTTCAATTGTTGAACTAAGCTCATGCTAGCTAAAAAGATTTTATATTTGATTGATGAAATTGACTTTTCCACCGTTGGTAAACTCAAAAATGTCAAAATAGCCCTAGAAAACATTACTATACTACGGATGATTGGGTAAGTTTGTACAAAATTCGTATTTATTAGGTTAAATTATAAATTTATCAATCCCTAAATTGTGTTTGGTCTACTTAGTCATTGAATTATGGAAATTTTCAATTACATTCTTAAAACATTCAAATTTGTGTCTATAATTAAGAATAACATGACAAAACATCACAAATATTCGAAGATAAACAAACTTCCAACCCGAACATGCGGGCTAATGAGGCTTTATATTTTCCTTTTAGTAACCCAGTTCCATAAGCCCGAAATGAGTCTGGTGTACTCTTYCATTCAAGGCTAAATAACACAGCTCTAAAAGTCGAAGAAACAAATTTATGTCATAAAAGGATCACATAGGCCTCAATGTTGATCTAGAATACCTAACCACATAGTAAGATTATACAGTCATACAAAATACAAATTTCAGCCCATCAAGGGAACAGTAGCACAAGCATTTATTTTTAAATAATCGGGGGTCGAAACTTTCTTCTCCTATACCCAAGGACACTCCCACGCCCGCCACAAGGTCTGGATCCGAGGACATCAAAAGGTTTTTTGTATTAACTCACCGAAAGGTTCGGACTTGATATCTCTAAGCCAGTATGACCAAGAGATCCCAAACCTTTACCAATCCGGAGCGAGTAGCACAAGCAAAACAGCTCAATAAACAATATCAGATAGCCAAACTGAAATTCTTCCAAGTCTTGTCGGTGGAGAAGAGAGTTCGAATTCCAAGATACTCGTTAGGTAGAATTTGAGTGTCATTAGCAGCATGCATACATATATATATATATATATATATAAACCCTTTCTGAGTCATGCTGACTGAAATTAGATTTAATCCATGCCGGCTGCCGACACAGGGCTTACTCCCTCTCTGGTCTCTATAATAAACCCAACCCCACAACAACCAAAAACAAATAGAAGACAAAAAGAAAGTTGGAAATATTCATTATACCAAAATCTCGACGAAATATAACTTATATGAACAAATATACTAATAACAACTTACATTTAGTTGCTACGGAAACTAATATTATATTCGATCCTAAATAGGTGGCCACTATGATTTGAACTTATTCCCTTCAGATTCATGGTAGTTACAAATTATAAAGATTTCCTAACTTACTGTCTAAAAACGGTGAAATATTTATTTATCCATTCAATTTGAATCTACAGCTTCTTTGATTTCTTATGAATATTCATTGACATCGATGTTTTATTGATACAAACTATCGACGTTGTCATAAAATTGAGATCTCAATACAATTGAAACATCGATGGAAAGATGTTCATATTCAAATAGATATTCCTTGGCATCTATATATAATCCAACCCGTCAACCTAACAGGAAAAAGGAGGGAAGATAAAGAAAAAGTAGGAAATAGAAATTGAAATAAAGAGGCAGAAAGAGACACTGCCATCAGACAAACAGAACCATGTCGGCAACACACATTTCGACCAAGAAACCAAACTGTTCACAGAAATACAGATATATTACATACCAGACGATTCATTGACATCTCAGAGATACAGTAATCCTAGAAGTATAAATAAGACCAAAAAAGAAAAAAAGAATACAGATTATTCAATCCAAACATACTGATCGTTCGGCTAATTAACTGCACACTTAAAATAATTGTATAAGGATGTCTTGGTTCTTACTTGGACTAATGGTAATTCTGGCTGCGATGGAAGACCATTGGGACTGATCTCAAGAAGCTGCAGCTGGGGCAACGTAAGATGGATTAAACGCAGCCTGCTCGGCACAAGTAAGTGTATCGTGAGTCCCGGCCTGTTCCCGACCAACACCCAACAGATCGAGGAAGTATAGGTAATGTGAAACGATGTTGTTCATGGCGTCAATATCACCCTGCCCACAGATAGAATCTCCATAAAGAATATTCATGGTAGTGCCAAAACCAGGAACCCTTTTGGACAAGGTGTCGTTCTTGGTGGGCTTCCAATGGCCGACAAAGACATCATGGGGTGAAGGCTGTGACTTCTTCACTGGGTTCATCCACTTCCATATTGCAGTTTGGAATCCAATGGTAGCATTCTGCTCCACATATTCCGGATGCTGCAGCAGATCCAACTTCAAACCATCCCCAATAATACCGTAATTGTAATTCCTACAATGACAAATAACAAAAAAGAACTCTAATCAAATTCTCATTGATATGGAAAAACGTTTGTAGAAGGCTCAGATCCATATCTATTTTTCCATGAGAAACCAAGAGAGAGATATTTAGGAGAAAATGCACAAAAGAAGAGCCCAGAGGCCAGGGAAACCTGCCAAAAGAACTACAAAATGAGAGCCTTCCGATTTTTAATAATCATCAGAAGGCAAAGGCTCCATATTGATTTCCATAAAACTTCAAATGAAGGTGCCAAAGGACAAGAATTCTAAATAATGTTCATACTTCTCTCAGACCCAACCAAGTTACCAACAACTTATCAGAGATTAGTTCCTAATCTAAACATACAAAACTGTGGCATTAGCTAAGTTAGAGACCTGCAAATGTCAATTTACAAAATAGCGGCGATTAAGTGAAAGAACATAGTAAATTGAATACTTATGTGTGTATTAACAAGGAACACTGCTATAAACCCCAGTAAGAACCAGATTAACTAAATTAAATCCACTGAAAAAGGAAACGGCGATAGAAAACTTCAAACCAGTAAATGGGCAGAGCGCCACGGCCATAATATTGGGCACCAGGAGCACAAGGATAGGTGAGCTTGAAGTAGTCATTGCAATAATCCTGGCTTGGACTCATCTCCTTGTTGAAACAGAGACCCCAGGCAAGCGGCCCTCCTGTAACCACTCCATCACCACCTATAAACCAACAATCAATTGAGCAAACGAATTTTTCTAGAAAACTGAATTCAAACGCAACCATCATCACACAGCAGCCGTTTTACAGAAAATCCAAGTCCACCCAAGTCAGAGAGATTAGCGTTTTTCACTTACAAGAGGTCTTAGAAGCAACATGGCCTAAGAAAGCAGCAATCTCTTTCATCTGCATGCGCTTATCTCCAGTGGTTCCGAATCCAAGCGGCTCGAACTGGGCGGCGGCGAAAATGAAGGAATGGTAGTCCCAGAAGTCGACGGCGTGAGCCACCGGCGAATTACGCTTAGAGAAGAGATTCTCGAATTGGTAGGTCTGAAAGTAGTCGGTAATGGTCAAATTGCAGCAATAAGTAGACCAGCTGCACTCCCACCCTCTGTCACAAAGCCTCTTCCCCCTCACAACCTTAACCTTCGGCTTAACCGCGGGTTCGTCCCCAATCGCAATCACAACCGACGCCATCACAATCAGCGCCAGTATCACAAGAAGCGACCGCTTCACAGCCATTATCGCCTCTCCCACTGCAAAACCAGAAAGAACAAAGATGAAGGTCAAGTAGATTTACATTCACCCAATTTCCACAGCACGAGCTTCAACTCACCTCTCAGAACCAAAAATGGCGGAAAATGCGCAGATCTGAGAGAGTAAGTTCTGTTAAACTCGTGAAGAGGCAGAAGAAGAAGAAGAATGAAGAATCATTAAAGCGTGTGGTTAGATCGGGCGTCTCTTTCAGTTACTAGACGCCATTGATTGGAAGCCATTTGAGCTCTGGAAGAAGTTACAGAGAGAGCGGTGAATGTGGACCGTCCGATTGGAGATTCATTGTCCGAATTTCCAGGCTGGACGAGGGACCCACTGAAATGCTGCACCGACACTTAAAAAAAAAGAAAAAACCATTGAATAAAATAAAATGGGCCTCATAATAATAATAATAATAATAATAATAAGGCATTGTTTTTATTTAATGTGTGTGACCTAATTTTTGTTTTTTGGAGCATATTATTATTATTGCTTATTAGATGAGTGTTTTTCTTTTCAAATAAACAAAAATACTAATTTTAATTTAGAGTGTGATGTGATGGATTATTTTCATGCTTTAAATTATTTCTATCTTGTTTTGTAAACTCTGAATGCAAATAAAGAAATAAAGAAGAAAAAGTAAACAACCCATCTAATAAATATCTTGTGTCTATTTTTTTAATTTGAATTTTATCTCAATTAGACAAAACGAAAAAGAAACATGAATTATTCATATTATTTTATTGTTAAGTAAATACACTTTTTTCCCACGTAGGATCATAGCTTTGTTCTATTTTTAGATAAATTTATTGTCCTAAACAAATTATAGGATTCAACATCTTTGTGTAGAGGTTAAATTCAATCTCTACACAATCTCATTTCCCACATCTATTTACGTAGTAAAATGAACCATTCCTACATACTAATAGAAAGAGTTAAATTAAATCAAATGACTTAAAAAAACCATCTAATAAATTAAATATTATCTCTTTGATCCATTAAACTAGTTTTTTTTTCAAATACCATTTTGGTCCAGATTCGTCTAGTTATTAATATTTAAGATTTATCTATTTTGATCCCTATATTCAAAATATATATTTTCATTCTATATTCTTTTAAAGTAACCAATCTGACTTCTATTGAAAATTTTTTAATACAAATTATATGAAAACCATTCAATACAAAATTATAACTACATTTCAAAAAATTTATTTTGTATTGTCATTAAAATTGTGATTAAAGAATGAGATAAAAAACTAAAATGAACAAATCAAAACGATTACATTTTACAAAGATAGAAACCAAAACAAACTAAAAGTAGGACACTAAAATAAACAAAAACTAAAAAAATACTTGGATGAAAATTAATCAAAGCTAACCAAAATACTATTTAAATATTTTTTTAATTTGGTCATATTTTAACTTGAATTTTTTTTAATGACATCTTTAATATCATCCCCATCATTAACAAAATTTATCTAATGCTCATCAAGGCAATAAACAATACCTTAATAATTAATAAATCAAACTTAAACAGAAGCATAATCCAAATTTAAAAACTCAATTAAAACTTTTTAAAATTTGAAAACTACAGACAATGCATCAAATATAATGATTAATTTGTCCTATAGGGCATAACTTCAATTCAACTGATAAGAATTTGAGAAAGCTCAAGAGATTCATTCAGATTGAAACAATGGAACTCCAAAAGGAGGTTTCTATATCATGAAGCAAACCTGAAAGAGATGAAACTATTTCCACTTCATTCCTAGAAACAAGTTTAAGACATTTCTCAAATATCTCATTCCAACCCAGAAACAACAAAACCAACAAAGGCATGACTAAATTTAGCAAAACAAGGTAAAAAATCAACCAACAGTCAATAAACACGAAATCAGCATTATTTTCGTCACCTCGTTGTCTAGCCAGCCCTCAGATGGAGAAAAAATTATTAATTGAGAAAGAAAATTTTCGATATAGTGACACATAAGATATGGCCTCTAGAAACTGCAACAGCAGTTGTAGATTCTGCTCAAAAATAATGTGCTGAAACAATTAAGTTGAGAAACTGAGAATTCAACACAAGGAAAAATCATGCAAGGAATTAAGGAAAGAACTCCACTACGTTTCTACCAATCCAGACCTGCCAATCTACTCTCCTACCGTCAAACCAAATCCAAATTTGTAGTCCTTCTTCCTGTGATCAATCTGTATTGCAGGTCACAGTTGAAGACAGATTCAGTCAAGTGAACAAGAAAAGTTAAAAAGTGTTCAACCTGCTTTTACTTTTCTTTTTCTAAAAAATAAACTTAAATCCTCAGGAACTTTTTGTTCTGTTGTCTACTTCTAAAAAACAGTATCAAAAACTCCAAACCAAAATTGTTTTTTAGAAAAAGGTTAAATTAAAATCTTAGTCCATAACTTGTTGTGTCATAAGTTCCTAAACTTTAAAGTGTCTAGTATATGTCCAATAAGTCCGTGAGTTCTAAAAATGTGAAAGTTTAGAGACTCGTTACACTTTTAAAGTTTAGGAACCTATTAGACACCAGTTACTCAACTTGCAATTTAACCCAAAAGAAACTCAGTTTTGTTTTTTAAATTTAGCTAAAAATTAAAGTTATTTTAAAAAACAAATAAATTGTGGAAACTAACATAATTTTTAAAAACAAAAGGGGATTAAACGTTCAGCTACTTGAAGAACTTCCTGTTGTCTTGCAAAGGTGAAGGAAATAAAAGAATATTACTTATAAATACCTCTGCGGAAAGAATGAAATTAACACCCATGTTTAGTCGCTCTTCAAGGAAAGCAGCTACACAACCATTGGAATCAATCTTCCCTCTAAGACGGCACTGTAACAACCATAATAATTACACGTCTTCATGATATGAAGGTCAATCAAACTGGAACTATTTGATGTTCTGCTAAGCAGATCGGAAGGTGGATTTAAGTAGATGCATAAATTGCTTATTACTAGTCATCGGTTGCAACTAAAAATTGATACATTAATCATACAATTCTACGGCATAGTGGTAGATAGAATGCAACAAAAGGAAGTAATTCAGTGCTCCACATAAAACCATCAAACTTGTCTATTGTACCAGCCGTAGCCAAAAATTCCAGCAAAAGATAATATTAAACCAATGTTGTGTGGCTACTTTTTGTTGTTGATTCTAACAAGAGAGCTTTTTGGTATGTTGTGGTAAGGGATATTTTTTTAATACCTATAAGTGTGTCTAGGCCATGGCCATCTTGCACGTACTTTCACTGATCTCATGGGACAACTATTTGTGACATGATAACCATTGGACCTTACTATATTTGATTGCAAGGAAAATTATAAGATATTAAATTCTAGGTAGGGAGCAACCATGGTTTGAATTTGAACCCATTCCCTCTGAACCTTTTATCTTTTCATTATCCCCCGTAACTATTAATCATGGTGGTTAGAAGTTGTGATTTTTCATAACCTCGTTCAGTTTGGTTTTAGGTGGTCAAATGAGTATCTTGTATAAGATTTCAGAGTCATTTTTCTTTCTCTACTCAACGGTAAACTTGTACATCAATGAAAATAAAAGTGTTTGCCTTATTTTAAAAAATGATTAAAATACTCTACCAACGGCCACAAGACGACCTACATTTTTACTTTTTCCCATACCACCCATATTCATCCATGTCGTAAATTCATACCACTATCTTATGCTAATGCTACAAATCATTTGCATCTTTGGAAGAATGCACACCCATTTTGATAGAAACATATCTTCATTCTTTTCCTAATGGTTCCGATTCCCAACCCCCTCCACAGTTTAAAGTTTCTACACGATACGCCAACCCATCAAAGCCACAATTTGCCGCCTTCTTTCCCTTCCCAAACGAAATGTCTCATATTTCTCTCTAACTACTATGCAACCTTTTTTTTTTTAATAAGAATTGAGAAAAATGAAAATAGGTACAAAAAGTGCCAAGAGGGCCTACAAAAAGACAACCTTGAGGAAGGAATCCCCCAAAGAAAAGGACTTCAATCCAAAAGAATGAATCTGAATGAATCCTAACAGATACTATGCAACCTTTTCTGGCTAAAGAAATAATGACACGGTTGATAGAACTGCATTACATAGTGCAAAATGACCTCCTATCGATCAGACAAAAGTGTCTCCATTTTCTTAGCTTACTCAAAGTCTCCTCCATCTGCCAAGAATCATTCTTCTACAATTACCCACTAGCATCTCCAAATAATTCATACGGAGGTATTTCACTTTTTGAGCCACGTTCTCCATTCTATTTCTCTCTATATTAGCTCCACATATTTCCGACCATTACACCATCCTTGCAACAGTACTATATCATCTACAAACTGCAAATGTGATGAATGAACTTCTTTTCTTTATAACTGTGATGAAGGAACCTTATGATTACCGACATAAAAACCTTCAATCCCTCCACTAATTTTCACCTTGACAACTTAAACAATAGTAGTAGAGAAAATGAATTGTGGATAACACATATTTGGTATTAGATAGAGAATTCACAAAACAGAAGATACCTGTCGAAGAATGTAGTCATAGCCAAGACTGGATATTACATCTCTTGACATGTAGTTATACGTGAAATCAGATGCCAATGAAACCTAAAATAAGGGGGGAAATGATTTAAGATATTGTGAAAAATAATAACAGAGTTTGATAGTTCTACCTCTTTTTCCCTCCTTTTCATTGCTCAGTGTTATTTTTTCTAATATTTTCTGCCTTGCTAGGAGGTTAGTTTTCCCTTCATTTATGTGAAACATTCTGTTATTAGTGAAATGTTTTTTTTGTTTCTAATAAGCAGAAGTATTCTATGAAACTATTACTTACCTTCTCCGACACCTTTTGAACATAGCTCAGAGCTACCATGCCCGTACTCGCAACTTGTCCGGTAGCAACCTGCAGATTGGAAAATTGAAGTCAAAATCTTGTCCTTCTTAGGATCAAGTTTGCATTTACACGATAAAATTTCCAAAAATCTGACGGACAATCTTGAATACAGAACTTTTTTTTTTTAACAAGGTTAAATGTCTGGATACTATTACAGTAGCACAACTTTCTACATTGTACGTTTGCTTCTAAAGGTTGGCAGATTCTGTTTGAGATTTTCAGGTTTGTTGGTTGTATGCCGAGAAAGGTTGAGGATTGGATGATGGAAAGCTTTGCTGGTTGGCATCTCAAAGGAAAGGCGTATTTTTTGTGGAAGCGTGCATTTTGAGCGCTTCTTTGGAACCTATGGATGGAAAGAAATATTTGCTCTTTTGATGATAAGTCCAAGTCTTTTGATTCTTTTTGTAATAGTGTACATATTACAGCCTCTTGGTGGTGTCATATGAATACGAAATTCTTTTGTAACTACAACCTCTCCATGATCCTTCAAGATTGGAGAGTGTTGATTCGTTAGTTCCTTTTTGGAGGGGGTCTTCTCGTCCCCTATCCCTTAGGCTGTTTTTGTGTTTCTCTCTTTAATGAATTGTCCCTTTATCCAAAAAAAACTATGACAGTAGCACAACCATTCTTGCATAAATTCACCAAGAACAAATTAATCCAATATCTTCTATAATATATTAACGGAAGAATGGTGGGGAATGATATTTTGAATATTATACACTCTAATTGAAAATGTATCACTTCATTAAATTATTTAATATTACATCTAAAGATGATGTGTATTTGCTCGTTTACTGTTAATGTTGGTTAAATTTCCACTTTATGAAAAAATCAAATAAAAAGCTTATGATGAAATCTTTTTAGTTCTTAAATTTGTTTTTAATAGTGTCATTTTTGTTCAAATATTGTTCACAGTTTATTGATATAAGCATTTGAAATTGTACTTTCAGTCTCATTGTACTTCAAAAATACAAGTTGTTTAATTTTCTCTCCTCTTCTGAATAATGGGGGTACAAGAGGGCCACACCTTGCATGTCTATTGCCTCCCATCCCTAGGGAGGCATTGCTTATCTTAAGGCTAGCTCCAAGAGACAACTAGAGTTTTTAACTTATTGACTTCTCCACCTAGAGCGTAGAACCTGAGGCTGAAGAGAAAATTCTGAAACATCCCAAACTCTTACCACCAAGGCCACTGCTTGGGCATAGCCATTAATTTTTCAATTAGTGAATTTTAATTAGTTAGATAAGAAAATATTTCAACATTATAATCAACTAAGTTATTCTAATGTTCTTTTATGGGCAAGGATTCAAACCAATAACCTACAAAGAGAGGCATTATGCCTAATTACTTGAGCTCCATTGAGTATCGCTTTTCTGATGTCATTTTTATGACGAGTTCATGACTTTATGTGCACATGGAGTAAATATCATAAAAAAGCTTATTAAATCTTAAACATACATGTCATTTGTTAAGAGCTTTTATTCAATTAATGTTATTTAATGAAAATATGAAATTGATAAAACAACGCTTAACAAATATATTTTCTGAAAAAAAAACATAATAAACTTAAAGCCTGTGTTAATTATTAAAAAAATTTAGATATTTAAATTTAATCAATATATAGAAATTATGTTGTTATACAGTGAAACCAAACTAAAAAATTCACCCACATTGCACATGGACTTATAATTTATTGAAAATTGAAGAAAAAGTCAACGAATGATGGCTGTTACTATACCATCTTATCTGTGTTGTATCTTGCAGCATAGCCAATACCAGACTTCCTATGCTGACCAGCCCAAAAAACTTCGCCACCCAATGATAGATGGGGTGATACACTCTGCAAAATAGAAAAAAAGGTCAGCATTGTCTCTTTATGTCACATAGCTGAGAAGAGAATGCCCCAAAGAGTTAAAACATGAACAACTTTTTTTTCTTATGACTGGAAAAGAAAGCGAAACAACCAAAGGGAAAGGGCTAGAGGGCACGTTCTCCCAAAGCTAGCAAAGAAAATCCTTCCAATCACGTATAATCATAGATAGGCTCAAAGTTACAAAATAACTTCCTATACCTATCTGTGACACAACCAAGAGGATTTGAGCTGTACAACATTACAAAAAAGAGGAGGACATGAACAAAGCTACTAATAATTGTTCAAATTGTCGAGGCACTACAATGTGCAAGAATGTCTAGAATATTGCTCTATCTCCACCTTTATTCCCATTGAGAACAGTAGGATGGGAACACTTAATGTTGGGGACACATTACCTTAGAGCATTTTGTGCAAAATAAAATGTGATTTTTCTTTTGGAAAAAAAAATGAAATGTATAGTTATGATGAAATAGAAACTGAGAAAGCGAAAAGATCAGGATGTTTAGCAGCAGAATGCCAAAAGAACAGGAGGGGGTGGTTCTTAAAGGAGGAGAGAGGTGAATCGTTTTTAAAACAAAATCAGATCACAAGTACAGAATCCTGCAACACCAATATAACTATATGTGTATAGTGAGTGAGTGTGAAACAGAATTTTCACCAGGTGGAGAAGGATATAGTCCTTATCAAGTGCATTTGCAATCAAAAAGGGGGAAACGAAGTATGACAAGCAAAAGGTAATCCAGTTGGTAAAAAAAAAAAACACGCCCCCAAAAGGTGGAGTAACAGACCTCCAATAGAGAAAGTTAAAAACTATAAAATAAGTACAATCTCCCAATTAACAAAACATTATATAAGTGTTTCAAAACTTCTACTTCTAACCAACTCTGAAACGTAAAAAAGGACAAGATAAACTCATGATATAAATCATCAGTATCATACCTGAATGTAACTTGCTCCAAATAAGGCACCATTTCCTAATTGAAATTGTGTTCTGAAGTCTCTTCCCTGATCCAGATATAGTTTCAATTGAAAAAAATCAAAATGTTTAACTATAAAAGGGAAACAAGGATCGTTAAAAGATGAACTCGTAATTGCAATAAAATGGTTACAATATAAGCATCTAACTTGATTGTAGGATATATCTAGCATTCTCAAAACCGCAGTTATACCACATTTGGAGTTTAGAAAACTTAAGGTATTCAATATTCAAGGTAGACAGTTTCAAGGACTAGTGAACCAGTGACCACTTGTTCAAATCCAAAAAATTAACAATACCATTAAGGCTGAGAAGCCTAGCGCACTTATAGGTCCCATTTTGCATTAGGCATTCTTTGGTGCAAGAGCCTGAGTTATATTTTCATTGGTTTAGGTTTAAGAACATAAATCCAAGTCTTAATGGAGGCCCAAAAACCTACCAAATTAAACATCATAGAATAATAGCTGACATTGTTTGTCCACTCACATTATGAAAATATTAGGATGTAAATATATTAGTAGAATTTTTGGAAGAATAGAATGCCTGCAAACATGAGTAAGCCAACTAAGACGCACAAAGGAAGGGCAATATTTTATTCCTGAAGAGATTGTTCTTAGCTGTGTTGCCATAAACAAGCTTACTGAGGAAAAATGTGCCTGATCGTGGTCATAATTCCAAACAAATATATCAAATCATGATGAAATAAAAATGTGCAAGATCGTAAATCTTCCAAGACTTGACAACCTTATAATCGAAGTTGACCATGCCGTGTGACATGTGAGGCTCATTTGTTAGCTGCAAAATTAAATATAGATAAATCAGCAAACAAAATTGAAGGAGAAGAGAAGTATGACAGCACCAAATAACATGATAAAAGAACCAATCTAGATCACCTGCGCATTGGCCTTCAAAATGAGATTGTCAGACAAATCACACTTCACTCTGGCATTGAGCCTTCCATCAGTGAGTATCCTCCCAAAGAGCATCAACTGCATATCAGTTACCAATACATCACATTGCAGTTCAATATGATAACGAAACAACAAACTTCCAGTAAGTGGGGTTACCTTTGGGTCTATAAAGTTGGCACCAAACTCATAAGTGGCAGTAGGGATTTTGATGGTTTCAGAGGATTGGGAAGGAATCTCCATAGGTCCCATAAACACACTGATCAGTCATCGATGGTTGTTAAGGCACAGTTATCAGCTAAGTAAACTCTCTATATGACCCAAAATAAAAAGCAAAAGGAATAAGTCGGAAGAAATTCATCACCAAACCAAACTACCTGTGGCTGAGGGAGAATTTTTGATTAAGTCCTTTGGTGAAATCAAATCTCATTCCTTCAAACAGTTCCGGCTTCAAAGACACTGCCAGAGCAAAACAAATATATCAAATAACTCAGCCGCATAATGCATCAAACCCACAGAATAATGAAAGGAAAACTGAGATATAGTTTCGAAAACCAAAACCCCTGTTTCTAATTTCGCAATTTCCACTAGAAACGTGATTTGAAAAAAGGAACTAAGAAGCCTAGTATATGGTGGAATGATATAATTCCTGAATCCCACCATTGCTATAAGCATCCCAAACCTTAAATATCTAAATTAAACAATCCTATATACCGTTGACGCAGTAACTAGAGCTACAAACTCATCGCGAACATTGAACCAAAGGGGAGACATTAGAGAATTACTGAAAGCTTCACGGTGAATCTCCTCGTAGGGGATAGGACATGGGAGATTCAAGTAATCGACTTTCTCTTCCTGTATCTTCTTCGGTGGAACGTATTGGGCGGCAGCCGGAGCCGTAGCAGCAGCGGTGGTCGGAGGAACGAGACCCGCCATTGTATTTAATCACCGAAATGAAAAACCAGAGAACCAAGCAAGTAACTAGTGAAAAAAATGGCGATGGGGAACGATCGGAAAGGCAATGTTGATTGAAGCGACGTAGATTTCTGAAAATATGGGCAATGTATCGATCAAAGAGTGACAGAGAGTAGCTTTTTTTCTTCTTCTTTTCTCTCTCTAAACCCCGGAGAGAAAGGAAATGTTCTAAAACCCTAGACCAGCTTCGTCTGTTGGAATAAAGAACACTCCCGGAACCCGGCCCGGTTTTGACATTTTGTTGGCTTGGTTTGAGTTTAACTTCAATTTTTGCCATGTAATTTTATAAGTTTCAATTCGGTTATCTTTAACTTAGCTTAGTTTTAGAGTATATTTGTAACGGTGGTAGAATTTGGGATTTTGAATAAAGAGATTTAAGTATAGTTGATTTAAAATCATCATTAAGTGATACTTTAAAATTTAATTTTTTAATTTGTCGAACATGCTCAATGAAAAGGAAAGTGATTTCGTTCATGTCAAAATCACTTTCAAACATATCCATAATATTAGTTAAAAAAATATGTGATCAAGTTTGTAACGATTTTGTCGTGAAAGTTTGTGTTAAGATTTAATCATATTTCTTATATATATAGATTGATAAGGTAATGATTGATCAAATGTGTTTATAAATTATAAATATATTATAAACATGAATCGTTATATGATTATATAACCTAATTAATATGTCTAACAAATTAATGAGTTGTCGTAAAAGATAAAAAAGAAAGCCGCATCCCACAACATTGTAAAAATGTTTGAATCTAGAGAAAAATTTGGGAAAATGTTGAATAGTCGCCGCCCACAATATTGGAAAAACGTTTGAATTTTGTAAATTTTGAGAAAATTTTGAATACGCTCTACAATATTGGAAAATTTTTCAATGTACATTAAGGGTGATGATAGAATAAGTAATTTTGAAAAATGAAATTTTAGAATCGCGACTTAAGTAATATCTTAAAAATCAATTTAAAGTGATTTAAACTCTAATAAAATTAATTTTTTAATTTATGAATCAAAATGAAAAGGATGAGTTATTTTGAAGGCTAAGAGATTTTTAGAAATTTGTTATTTTTTATGCTGGTTCTTTTTGTTAGTTATTTGTAAACGAATTTTGGAAAGAGGACGAAACTAAAGACAGTTCTATACTTTTTTTTAAGAAAAAGGTATTTATTATTGTAAAAAAAAAAAGGAAGAAACTCATTTACAATAATATCTTATTTTGACGGGACAATTTGTATGTCTTCCATCTAAGTATTAGTTTTATTAATTGTTTAAAGATATTTTTGACTTTTCGAATTTTGAAATCATATATATAATTAATTAATATTTAGGAAATGATAGTACTAATTTATTTTAGATGTGTTAGAATGATAAAACTTAAAATTACAAACAAAACTGCTTTTTGTCTCAGCCAAAATAGGCTAACACGAGCAAACAATGAAAGACAAATAATTAGATAGTTTATGGTATTTTTTGTGCATCATATTGGCCGTTTCTACATCAGCGAACTTATATGTTAGAGGTGAAATAAAGCCTCGATTGACGAATAAACTATTGAAAAACATTAAGTCGATTTGGATCGAGCAAAGTCATTAGGTTAAGAAATATCCAAAAGGTTCAACCCTTAGGTATAAATCCTATGAGTTGTATGCATGAGTTTAGTGTCACGAATCAAGTCTGTGGATGCAGACCAATTGGCCAACTAGCCTATTAGCTCCTATTACTGAAACGAACCTTGAGCTAGCCTGTCATTTCATTTTAAAGACCAATCGAACCATCCAACTTGATTATTGCAGACGTCATGGCGCTACATGATGGCGCTGCGGTGCTGATGTGGCTGAATTAAACTCCCCTTCTTGCTCTAATGTTCCTCTTAATTTATCAATTACAATTCAATTCTTTCTAATGGCTCAATCACGTGAAAACATCACTTATGCACATAAACAAGCTATAAATGACCGAAATTGCTAGATAATTCCCACTTGAATGTCATGAAATGCGGTTTATAAAATGTACTATCAATTACCCAAATTAATCGTGAGGATTTTTTTTAGGAACATATTGTGAGAATTTAATATAATAAGATACCCTACAAAACCCTAATTATTGCTACGCTGAGCACAAATTTGATTGTGACTCAAGCATCAGACTATTAGCACCATATCGATGTGTAGTCTCTATTTTTGTAAATTATGTTGAATCCCTTTATTCAAGAAAAATGGTGTTATAATAGTTATTCTATTACGTCAAATTTATGCATCAACATTACTCATAAATAATATTTGAACCGGATAAATATTAGAGGGTGTAACATAGGTTAGCCATGGGATTCATATTCATCCCAGGATTGTTTTTTAACGAACCTTTTGGACCAAATTGTACAAGCAACTGGAAGTTGAAATTTTCAAATTTGCAAAAAGGGGAAAAAAAATCCAAAACTTGTGTTTTCAAATATTTGAATTTATTTTGTTGGATTGTTTGCATATTTTATTTGGTTAGTTTAAAAACATACATTGTGTGGAGCTTTAATTTTATTAATTATTGATCGCTTTTACAGGATTTTTAGTGGGTGAAAACATCTATTTTTCTCACTAGCAGTTTCATTATTCTCGAGTGCCAAAAAAAAAAATTAATATATCGAAATAAATAAAAAGTGGTGACATGTTTTTAAAATCAAATTTATACTGTGGAATAAAATTTCTCAAAATTTCTGTACTAACTTTTCCTCTAATTCTATAGTATTATTGTGAAAGCAAACTTATTATTTATTGTGATTTAACTTTCAATCATTTTAATATTCTGACTACATTATTATTTGAATTAAAATATTAAACTATATCAAATTAATCAGTGCAGGTTCAATATTTTGAACTAAAAAAAAAAACTTGAATACTATCGGATAAATCTAAATTGACACTTGTCCAAGTTATAACTGAACCACCTAATGAACCACCTAAACCAAGTGTAGCGAAAGCGGGCAATCCAGGCCAAAATTTGAGTGCATCGGTTCGAGGAACCGAACGTACTTGGACTCCTCGTATAAAAGACAGTCAGCGATTAGGGCACTGAGACCCTATGACATATTCGCAATACGGTCTAGAGAATCATCTACTATGTCGTCGCGTCCCCTCTAATAGGGCAGGGAGGGAAGTAGAATATTGGTGGTACCCATGACCCTCGAGGCGCAACGTCCTTCCACTCTTTTTGTCCTTCTCTCTATCTCCTTCCATACAAAAAAGAGGGCCCTAATTCTGCATGCACATTAATTGAATTCATTCCCGTCCAAAAGAACCTTAGACAATAAAGCAAAATGAATAAGATGTGGCTTTCCAGAATTTTAGTAAAGGATATCTGGCAGGGAATGATGCTCCTTTTCATGCTTGTTTGGAAACATCTATAAAACTCGACTTCTACTATCTTTCACTCCAAAGTTTAAGATTGAGTTTTCGATTCAGTTACGTTGGTGATTATGAATTACCTTATTAGGGGGCGAAAAATGTGAATCACAGGTTGATATGTGATCAAACAAAACTATACATGAAGAATGTGATACATATCAAAGCCTTAATGGAGGTAAGTCGAAATTTCTTGCATAATTCATTTTGATAATTCGACCCACACAATGACACACTCTAAAACTAACTATCTCTCACTCCAAGATTACTGTTTTTTTTTCCTCATTGTACTTGCTTCATACCCATTTACTTCGACCTTAAGTTATAATTACTTGGATATCAAAGTACATTTAGTAGAACACCACACCGATACTAGATTTCTATGTGCATATAAAATTTGAACTAGGAGAATAAGACATTAAGACATGCATGACACCTATGTGGTACCAGTTTGGAAATCAACATCGACCTTTATTATATATTTTTTTTAGTACAATCTTGAATATTTATTATTGACTTTTAGATATTGATTGTATAGATTTACTTTATGCAACTATGATGGTTGAGAATTAAGCGCACATTTATTATTGAAGTTAATACATTGATTTTATGCTTCTTCCTCTAAAAAAACACTTATTGAATTCAACGATTAGAAAAGTTGTCAAAATTCATTGGAGTGATTATGAGACATTAGACCCCTTATAATTTCATTTCCTACTCTACAATTGTGCAACTAAAAGAATATTGTGACTTTTCTCGAGAAAAAAATTTTTGATAAGTCAATAATATATAATGTTAATTTATTTTATTTTTTTTGCAAAGGGTTAATTTATATTATTGCTTTGTATACTATCGACACTTTTTATGGTCAATATGAGCATAACTCAGCCGATTAAGACACTTATTTTCGATAAAAAAGGTTGTGAGTTCAAATCTCTACCCCACATTTTGTAACGATAAACCTTGAACTTAACTCAATTTATCAAATAAATTATAATTAGTATGACTTTTTTATTAGAAATTGTGTGGATGAGAGATCAAGGGTATAAATTTAAGGTACTTGATAGGGAACAACTTAACATTTTCCCATAAAATTAGACAGTGAGTTAACTATTACCCTAAAGGTTTTATTTCACAAATTGGACCTTATACTTAGTTAAGTATTGTGATTTTTAACTCAAAGTTTAATAAGGGTTGTAATTATACATTTAGTTGGGATTATATTTGTCGTTGAAAGAAAAATTATCATGTGCATTTGTTGAACTCAAAAATATATTTTTATTGTCTTAAAAAAAAGTGATGAAATTGTAGAGAGTTTGAGAACATCTAAACTATGGATGAATGTTTGTTGAAAATTGTGACTATTGGTTCAATTTTTACCTCTCGTGCATTGACTCGTATGGACTTAATTTTGTATTTTGATTCGTTAGAGTGTTATTTTTGTTAAAATTGATCAATCTTGATAGATTTTAATTAACGTTTTGAGTTTGGGAGTGATTTTATAACAAATATTTTTAGTTAAAATGATTTGATTATAATTACTTTTGAACAAAAAAAAATGTACAGTAATAAATTATTTTATATTATATGGTTAAAATATTCCAGAGTTGGCGACAAATTATAGGGAGAAAAAAAAGGTTAGAGAACAAAAATTAGATTGGGCTAAGAGCCTAAGAACAACTGTGGAGGGAAAGAGAGATAAAAAAAATTTAGGACAAATTTTAGAGGGAAAAAAAAAAGTTAGATAACGATATAGAAAGGCTAGAGATAGAAAAAAAAAAGTTACATAAAGAAATACCAAAAAAATTGGAGATAAATAAAGTTAAAGCTAGTGAAAAAAATTTTAGAAAGGAAAAAAAGGGGTAACATTCTCCATAATTTAGTGATAAAAAAAAGTGAAATAGAATGACACTTTTTTCAATTTAAAATAATATTAATTTTAAAAACTAGTACTGTTAGGCATGAATACTTTAAAAAGAAATAATTGGAGTTCTTCTAAAAAAGAAAAGAATAATTGGACTACCATTCGAAATTATTTAAAGTGATTTTAGAAGTGAATTTGATAGGATAAAAGCACTCCCACGTATCCTCGAAATCAATCCTTGTACATTATTCTTGAAAAGATCCTAAGTAGCTCAAGTATAAAATAAAGATATATTTTCATAAATAACATTTTTTCAGTATAATAAGAAGTCTAAAATTATAAAATAAAATATAATCAAAATAAAAGTAAAATTCAAACATAAACCTATTACAATATTTTTTAAATACACATTAAATTTATGTAATGTTAATTAAACTTATAAGAGTCATTTTAAATATACATCAGTAGATCAAGATACGTATTATCCTCCTAAAAGTAGATGGTTTGATCTCGTGTTCAGTACATTTGTTTTTGTTGATTTCTCAAAATTTTAATTTTTTTAATACCATGGTTGATTAATTGTTATTATTGGATAATTGTATAGTTTGATAGAAACTAATTTAAAAAAAGTCTGTGCAACTAAAAAAAGAAAAACACAATACTTGTTTTAGTTTGCCATAAAAAATGGAAAACTAACCGCAAAACAAAATCAAAGGGATCGCAAAATTCTTTTTTTCTTCACTGTTACGAAAGAAATCAAAGTAAACGCGAAGCAAAAAAGCGGAATCGAATTGATCTTCTTCTGCAGTGGGTCATCTCTGAGCGCGAGCGGTTTCTCGTTGGGTCCCTGAGCTGATTTCTGTTCCTTCTTGGCAGTTTTCGCTCCAAGGAGTCGTTTCAGGCACCCATGGCCTCCGCTCCGATGAGGATTGTATTCGGTCTGCTCACCTTCGTCACCCTCGGCATGATCATTGGTACACATTTTAGTTTCTCTCTCTCTTTTTTTTTTTTTTGTTTTCTGCCCATTTGATTGCAGCTTGCTATTTACTCATTTGATGTCAAAAGGGAGGTTAATGATGTTACTGGGTTCCAACGGAAATGGTGTTTTATGTGTGTTGTCTCTAGATGAACTGGAGAGAACGTTGAGCTATCTGGAAATGTAAGTTGATTCTGAGTTATGTTATAAACCTGATTCCTGAGGAGCTCTTGCGGGCGATTCTTCTTTGAGCTGGGTCCTTGAGATAAGCGAAGGATTGCTGCAAGCATTAGTGAATTACGTCCTTTTCTTTTTTTGGCTCTAATCTTACATTTGTGATAATGGAGTCATTGACGACTTGTTAATGTTTCTTTCGTGGATTTGATTCAATGAAAAGGACAACACCCTTCTCCTCTCTTGTGTTTGATATAAATTGAAATGTTATAATGTAAGTCTTCGTTCCATTTGTTGGATTGTTTGGGCTTATACGATCAAATTTGGTGGGTAGATTGTTACCCTGTAATTGTAGAGAGTTATGGAAAGTTCTAACTGATAAGGTGCTTTCTTGAATGGCGACTGCAGGTGCTTTGTTCCAATTAGCATTTATAAGGAGGCTGGAGGACTCTTATGGTACTCTTCTCGGTTGCTTTGTCTTTTGGGATGTAAAAAGTTGAAATTATAATGAAAGTATCATATATTTGGAACGAGAGTGAGAACTTTTGGAGTTGGATTTGGATAATTTTGAATCTCGCACTTCAACTTTATTTTCATTCACTAAGATGTTTATGAAGTATCGTTGTTATCATGTCTACTCATAAAAAGAATATTTAGATAAAAAACAGGAAACATCTGTAAATCAAAAGATCTATATGATGTCGAGGAAATAGAGGTTACCATTATTAGGAAGTCTGAGTTAACTTATTTTGGTTCTAATAAATAGCAAAGGAAAGTACTTTATGTAAATATTTCAAATTGAAAGCCCCTAGAGAAGGCTAAAGCCTGCACCATAGGCTTAAGGATATTTAGATCATCTTGGTTGTATCTCCATCGTTTGTTAATTACTCTTTGTATGATATTTGTCATAATTCGTGGGCTTTTAAGCAATTCGATGCTCTTTAGCAAGCAGGCTGTTATTTTTATTTTACTTCTTTATAGGAGTTCGTATCTTTGAAAATACTTGTAACTTTTCACTCATCAATAAAAAGTAAAAAAAAACTTAGACTAAATTATTTTTAATGGTAAGTACCTGAAAGGAATCAAATACTTGGAGTTTGGAGCACATAAAGGATAGTTTATCTGAGTGTCTCCTCTCATAATGCATCAATTTGAAATAAATGAAGAAAAAAAGCTTTGTTTCTTGCATAAAGAAATTTTCAATTCTCTCAAAGAAACTAACTGTAGATTTATGGATCTCACTAGGTTTTAAAATATTGTTTTGCATCCAATTGAACTTATAGCTTCAAGATATTTATTTGGAAGAATGACCGAACAATGTTGATAGCCTAGAACTCTTGGCATCCATGCAAAATAGTATTATCTATCTTTGCCGACAGCATGACATAGGAGCTATCCTGATAATTTGCTGGATGCTAGCTATATCCTACATGTTTATGAGGAATGGTTTATTTGGTACTTCTAAAATGATCTGACTTTTGTATGAACCATGTCTTTGCAGGCACGGAGTTTCTATCTGCTGGAAGGTTACATAAAACTCAGTATGATGGCGATCGTCAATTACCCCGAGGTTGGAAAAACTATTATAGAGCCATCTTTAACTCAAAATTTTACTCCTATTAAGCATCATCAATTCTGTATTTGGTTTCAAGGGGATGTATCTTTTTTCTGTGAAATTGATGTGTGATTTATCTTCTCTGATTTGGCATGTCTTCAAGTTGTTCATTTATGTTTTTGCCTTAAAAGATTGGTTTTAGCATCAGTTTGTTTCATATTATGAAGATAAGATTTTCTGGAAGTTTGACTTATATTTTACAACTTTCAATTTCTTTAGCTTATTTTGTTCTGTTTCCCAGAATTTTAACCTAGCAATATTTTATCCACAATTATTACAGAAAGTTTCCATCTGCTTGGTTATAAAAAATTAATTTTTTCATCGAAGTATTTTCTGTTTGTAATTGTTCTAAATTTTATTCAATTCAATTGGAGAACCTTATCTTTTATTATTATTTAAGAATAAACTCCTTCGGTTGGTTCTTGAGACTAGGAATCCTTATCTTCTCTATTTCTATATTTTGTTTTCTGATTTGATACAGTTGTTTCTTATCCAGAAAGGGGAAAAAAAATACACATCATTTTCTTGTAGGGCTTGTTGGATAATCAACACATTCTTCGCACTGATTTATTTATTTTTATTTTGTCTTTTCCATTCATTCTTTTCTTTGCTAATTTTCAGGCTTTCCTAATTGGATTAATGACAGAGAAGCAGAAATTCTTCGTCTTGGCTATGTATGCTTATAACTACTTAATTTATTGATTGTATAGCTTTATTTTAAAATTTTGGGATCTTTGGATGCGTTTTCTTTCAAAGAAGATACGTTAATGAACATGAAATTGGTTTCTTTACCTTTGTAAACAAAATAGGAGTTAAGAACCAAGTACGTTGGGGGAAAACATATTATAAGATTGCATTCAAGAAGAAATGAGTAATGATGCAGAAAATAAAGACCATAGTTGAACCATATTCGCGCCCACCCCACCCCAAAAGAGGAAAAAAAGAAAAGAAAAGAAAGAAAGAAAGGCAACTTATTAGAGAGAATCTAAAAAAGAAAAATAGGAAATGGGCTCTCCTCCAATTCTAGAAGGTAAAAAAGATCTTTAGTTCACTTGAATCAAGGCAGGAGAGTAATTACAAAAAGCAAGAATTCCATCTAAAAGCATGAAAAAAAATACTGAAAAATTCTTTACGAGGACAAAGATAATCATCATTAAAATTTTTTTTGAACAAGAAACAAACTTCTCATTGAAATAATGAAAAGGAACAAAATTGTTCAAAGATACAAACTCTTGAAAGAGTGAAAGCAAAACTTGAAACAAAAATAAAGCTAAAACTTCAAACACTGCCATAAAAACTTCCCCATTAGAGTAAATTAGACTAGGGGAATAAGATTTAAATAACGGCGATAAGGAACTCCATTGCGAGGTTTTAAATCTAGCAATGTCAAAACGAACTGAAGAGGGCTGCCTCTTTTCTTCAAAGATCCTAAGATTTCTTTCCTACTATACTTCATACACCACTGCCTTCACCGCATTAATCCACAATAAGGATGCTTTTGGATTAAAAATACGCCCCGAAAGAATTTGAACCAAATTATCTTCCACCTTGTTGCCAAAAACCCAGGCCAAATTAAATTTCTCAAACAAAATACTTCAGCAATGCCTGGCAAAGCTACAGAAGAAAAACAGATGCACCATACTTTCTTCGTTGGATTGACAAAGAGCACAAACCGAGGGCAACAAACTGAGGATAGGAAGCTTCTTTTGTAGATATCAATGTGAAAAGAGTTATAGATATCAATGTGAAAAGAGTTAGAAATATGTTCCAAAAGTGAAGATAGTCAATTAATGATGTGCTAGTAATCAAATCAAGAAGTTTTGCGCCCTGTATTTACGTGGAGTACTTGCATGGCTACAATTAACAGAGTAGCTTAACGTGGAGTACTATCTTCTCATTTCTTCTGATGGGCCTGCTCTTTTTCATGGATGGACAATCTTTTATAACATTGAAGTGAAACTTTTTTGATACTACATCGCCATGTTTCGGAGGATTTGTAGGTTAGTTTTCTATGTTATCATTTGAATTTACTGTCCTAAAAGAAACTTTTCCATTTTATTTTGTGGAATAGGTTAAACCAGAAGTAGTAAGCTGGTCACCACGAATCATTGTATTGCATAATTTTTTGAGCACAGAGGTGAGCATAATCCCGTCAATGTGGTAATTTCTTTTGCTGATGCTATTGTTTACTGCCGATTCTCATTCCTTACAGAATCTTCATTAAATGTAGCCATACTTCCAAGTTCCAAGACATACTTCCAAAAGTGTCATTATAATTTTCTTGAAAACTGAAATTGCATGGTTGATATTTTTGGGGATTATTTTGGAACTGGAGCTGAAGATAATGTATAGACAAACACACATACAAATTAATAACTACTGGCCCAAATGCGTGGGAGATGGGGTTTTCTAATTCTTGAGAGATGAATAATAGATTGCATAATGATATGTTCTTGCAAGGTTCAAAATGTTTCTGGTTCAAAATGTTCAAAATCTTCTTAGGAAAGGAGCTTTCTGTTGGCATCATTTTTGAAGCTATAGTGTCTATGGTTGTATCTTGGTGTAAATGTTCTCCTATCTTTAAACACTATAGCTTTGTTTCTCTTTTAACCAATTGGAGAACTTTTTTGTAACTCCCTTGGTTTGGGATCTTCCCCCTTTTGTTTCCTTTTCCATTTCATTACATAAATGAAATCTGTTTCTTTTCCAAAAAAAAATATTGTGTTGGACAAAATTGTTCGATAGAAATATCAATGTCAACAGAAATTGATGTTTCTTATAAAAAATTGATGTTTCTTTAGGGGTTCCCTTTTGCAGGGCTGTTTTTGTTCGCCCTCCATTTTTTGTATCTATTTTTCATTCTCTCAATGAAAGTGATGTTTCTTATATAAAAAAAAAATATCAATGTCAACAGAAATATATAAAAAGAAAAATCATGTATAGGTGTAGACATTGTGAATTAATAAATCAAACTTTAACTATTATTCATAAGCCTATAATTCATCATTTTTAATACTCATATAATCATATTCATTCGCATATGGAGTATTGACATTGTCATATATATATTTTTCAAAGATTTATTAAACATCAATTTATGAAAAAGTTTGAAAAACGTTTAGTAATTTCATAATTTGAAAAATGTAATTACATGTGTTAAAAGAAGATCAAAAGATGAAGTATGTTGTCGAACAACATCATGATAATTTTGATGGTAATGGCAATAATTTTCCTAACTCAGCCGTTCTTAGAATGAAGTAACATAATTGTCCATTTTCCTAGTGTATGATTTAAATGTTGGACAAATGGACCTTATAGGTGAATCTCTCATCAAACCAAAGTCCATATAATTCAAGATGATCATTAGATGTTTTATCTTCTTTCCTTTTTGCATGAGATGTTCATGAGACCATTTGGGTTCTTGCTACTTTTAGCTGGAAGGGAATTAAGAATTGTGGGATGTTTGAAGGTAGATTAAATTTAGGATAAAACATCAGCTGGGAGTGTATAATTTTGTTGCATAGAAATAAGGCCCAGTGATGTTAATCGTGGTGGAGGTTTTGACCCTTCATGTCGTCAATTATGAAAATTATGTTTTTTAAGCAAAGGTCTGAGAACTTGAAAGAGGCTATTGTCTTTAAACCATTCACTGGATGCAATAGGATTCTATAGCGGTCCTTGCTATTTTGTATTATTTGGCTTGAAAGGAACGTAAGGACTTTTGAGAATAAAGAGTGTGTCAAGCTTTTGTTTGAAGTCTGGTGCATTTTAATGCGTTGGTTGGAATCACCAAGAAGTATTTTTGTGATATTCTTTCTTGATTGTTTATATTTTGGGGTGGGAGGTTTATTTATTAATTTTTTTCTCTTTGTTTTTCATTTTTCATTTTGATGAGAAAGAAGACTTCGTCGAAGCAAACTGCCAAAGGATGCTCCCAAGTGCATTACTTATGGACTATAAATACAGAAATACTTATGACGGATAACTTAAATAAAAAAGCTAAACTAAAACTTCGTTCCTACCAAGTACCAATATTTAATGCTTTTGCCCGAATCCTTGAAGACTCAGATCCTTGAGTCGTTCAGTTTATTCCTACAAAGAGAAGCAGACAACTCCTGGTATGGGAGGTTTTTGAAAGTTCTAGTCAGGCTACCTCGATGACCAAATTTGTCCAACAGCACACCACCAGGTAGTGGCAAAATAACTATTGAATAAAAGACAGTGAAGGTTTTCAGCAATTTGACTGAAAAGACAACACAAGTTAGGCAAGTTGCTTAGAATTGGAATTCTCGTAAGAACTTTGTCATTTGTGTGGATGCCAACCAAAGCCACGCACCATGAAAAATTGAATCTTTTGAGGATATTATGAATCACATCTGATCATTTCTTTTTGGAGAAACTTGTAACCTCCATTTGTCTGTCTAAAGGTAGACTTGCTTGTTAAACTTCCCAATTTATCCAGCCACCACAGCTGGGTATCATGTTGAGGGATAGGCTTTTACTCTCAACCCTTTTTTAAAAAGAGACATCCTTTCAGAAAATTTCTCTGGTTAATTTATGATTATATTATTATTTTGCAGTTTTGGCTATGAATTATGAATCTCACTCTAATGGAATTGTATCGATTCCACTTTTGGTCCATGCATCCTATATAATGGATAAGGTTAGAAGATAATTGTTTTGATTAGTTGATTATTTGTTCAGGAGTGCGACTATCTTAGGGCAGTAGCACTTCCTCGCCTTGAAGTTTCCACGGTTGTGGATACAAAAACAGGGAAGGTATGTGTTATGATCACCTTTCTATCAGTTCTAAGCATAACAGAGAATTAGTTTGATCTCTTACAATAGGTAATCGTTTTTTTTGCTTATTGCTTTTTATCCATACACTATTTTTACTGTTAACACTTTATGGATGTTATCTGCTGAATTGAACTAAAATTTGAATGTGTAGGATCCTACTTAATGGAAAGAAAATGAATTAACTTTGGTATTATATTTATATTAGTTTTTACTCTGTTTCTATTGGGAATGCCATTAGAGTGAATATTAGGATGGAAGGGTATATTAGTTACTAGACCAGAAGTTGGTTATAAATAAAGGGAGTGGGAAGGGATGGAGAATGTTAGGAATGCCATTGAAGTAATTAGGAACGTTATTAAGATAGAAGAGTATATTAGTAATTAGCAAAAAAGTTGGTTATAATAGAGGGAGTGGGAGGGGACGGTGGGAGGCATAGTTTAGTTGGTTTTGGCCAGCGACTCAGTAATGTATGGGTGTTCTGAGTTAAACTAATAGTTTGATTTAATGAAGATCATTCCTTGAAATACTGGAGGTTTGGGAGATTGTAATAAACGGATCTCTATCTTTTTTTTTTGATAAGAAACAATTTCATTGATGAGTGAAATTACAATAAGGGTGGAAACCCACAAAAAAACCATTGGAGTTACCGAAAGCTTCTCCAATTGGTTAATAGGGAAGTCAAACTATATGAATGAAAATAGGAAGATGCTTTACACCAAGACATAGCATGAAAAATGTTGTTGTCAAAAAGAGTGATGAAAGGCAACTCCTTGTTAGAGAATAGTCTATGACTCCATTCATTCCAAAAAGTCCAAAGGAAGGCTCGAATGATGTGTTTCCATATGATCTCCTTCTCTTTCTTGAAAGAGTGGCCCACGAAAACAAATGAGAGTAGGTCTTGGATGTCAATGGGGAGGGCTACAGTCCAGCCAAATGCATGGAGAATCTCGTTCCAGAAGTTCTTGGCCAGAGAGCAAGTGTGAAAAAGATGGGAGGGTGATTCACCATCTTTTTTGCAGAGGATGCACCATTGTGGGGAAAGAGTGATGAATGGTAGCCTCCGTTGCAGCCTATCAGAAGTGTTGATCCCCTTGTGTGCAAGCTCCCAAATGAAAAATTTTGTTCTTTTGGGGTATGTGTCTCTCCAGATGATTTTGGCAAGAGGAGGGGGGAGGACAGCTTCCTTCGTTGCAATGCCAGAAAGTCGGGATTTGGTGGAGAAGGTTCCCTTGCTGTCCAGTGGCCATTTCCAGGAGTCTTCGCCGGCGTGGAGGAGAGTAGTGTCTAGTTTACCCGATAGTGTGGCCCATTGAACAATTTCCTCATCCTTTAAGAATTGGGTAAAACCCAAATCCCAGAAGCACAGACTTGGGTTCCATATTTCTTTGACAGTATCAGTTTTCCGTAGGGATAGAGTGTGTAGAAAGATGATGCCAAGGAAGAGTCAAGGAGCCAAGAGTCATACCAGAAGGAGGTATATGCCCCGTTCCTAACTATGGAGAAGATTCTATTATTATTATTTTTTTTTGATAAGAAACTACGCTTTCATTGAGACGAATGAAAATAGGTACAAGAAGTACAAAGAGGGCCTACAAAAAGACAACCACGAAGAAGGAAGCCCCCTAAAGAAAGGGGATCCAATCCAAAAGAATGAATCCTAACGGATAATTACAAAAAGCCTTAGAAACCGAGCCCTATAACGAAGTATTATATCTAATGAGCTCCCATACATAGTCCACAGACTTCTCCACCTCCTTAAACAGTCTATGATTCCTCTCCAGCCAAATACCCCAAAGAGTAGCCAGAAAACAAGCTTGACACAAGAAACGTCCCTTATCGCGAAAAGGAGGGTGTAACAGCACCTCCTCCATCATCGTCCTACAATCCCTTGTGCGGATCCGGGTCATCCGAAAACACCTAAAGAAGCGAAGCCATAGATCCTGCGCAAACTAACATGTCCACAACAAATGCTCAAGGTCTTTTGAGGCACTTCTACAGAGAACACACCACCGCGCGTCCAGACAAAAGGAAAACATCCTCTAGATACGATCAAAGGTAGTGACTTTCCCAAGTAAGACTTGCCACGCAAACAACTTAATCTTATTCGGAATTTTAATCTTTCAAAGGGAGGTAAACCAAGGGGACGATGGGGAAGATGAAGACAGGGAATTCAAGATATGAAAATATGAGCTACAAGAAAAACCTTTCGAAGGGTTGAGGGTCCACTCCCTCACATCCTCCCTCCCAAAATAGGAGGGCACCTCAGACAACAAAACATGTTAAGCGGAAACCTTTAAAGATTCTCGATTCGTCTAAGAACGAGAAAGGCCCAAAGAAATGGAAGGAACCGCCCCCCTAGGACTCAGAACCTCGGCCACTGAAAGAAGCCTTTTCTCAGAAAGATGATAGAACCGAGGGAACGCAATGCACAAAGGTTTATCTCCTACCCAAGTATCCTCCCAGAAATAAGTACAACAGAACGTAGAGATTGAGACAAAAAAAAACAGGGTTGCTCTCACCATTGAGAAGCTTCACGGAAACTTTCTATGGCGGAACAGTACTGATTCTTCATCAATGCACCATGTTAGATGCGAAAAAATTGTGTGCCCTACCAATCAGGGAGGCCTCGGTCTTCATAGACTGCAACACAAGTACCGTGCCCTTCTTGCAAAATGGATCTGGCGATTTAGAGAAGAAAAATAGCACTTTGGAGAAGACTCATTGTGGCAAAATATTCAGTTGATGCCCACAACACTAAACCTGGTTCTAAATCTATAAAGCTCTCCCTTGGACCATGGAGGAATATTGTCAAACAGAGGTGTTTGGAGTACTATACTACAAATATTAGAACTTTCTTGGACTTTCCACTGCTCTTGGAAGGAAATATACTTCAATTACTTGGTGGCTATTCTTTCCAGAGTAAAGCTAAGAAACTTTGGGTAAATCCAATCAAATATTTGGCTGTGAAGAAACAACATATTGTTCAATGAAAAGGGAAAGGATTGGAGGAAAGTTTTATAGTCAGCAAAAGTTCATCATTCCTTTTAGGTTTCTAGAAATCGAGTCTAGCAAGTATAATTTTTTGTAATTAACACATTTTGGGTGTGGGTTTCTGTAAGCTCTATTGGGGAGTATACTTTTTTGTATGCATGTAATACCTGGTAAATTGGACCTTTCTAATTTTTGACTTAAAAATGAAAGTTTTGTTTCTCGTCACAAAAAAAAAAAAAAAAAACATTTCTAGTTTTTTTGTGAGGCTTACCTGAAGACGTTCTAATTTCGATCTCTAAGAGCAGGAGTGTGAGATTCCTTGAAATTAAAATCTTCCATCTCCCGTCCATAGATTTGGACCATCACTAAGGAAGAGATTTATTTAAAAAGGGATGATCAAGTCACATATTCTCAAACCTGAAAGAGTCGACCCCATCTAGGTAAATTAAGCATAACAAATTAGCTGATGATCCTAAGTAACAGGCACGACATAGATTTTATTTTTTAAATTACTTTGCCTCGGAAAACTGTGTATTTATGGAGTGTTGAAATTTATGCTGATAATTATACTAAGATAAAATATCATAGTTTATGACTAGATGATATATTTATACAGAAGTGCTAATACTGTTCTTTTCGTTACATAATTTTTGCTGTTTTGTTCCTTGCCAACAAAATAGGGTAACCGTTAGTACTTTATTTATTCTTCCTTGTGTGGATTTATTTTCGCTTGATGGATTTCATAGTTCAAGATTGTGATGGATAGTTTTGCCTCTTTCTTTTGTGGATCATGTTATTATTATTATTTTTTTTTTGTATTGGAGGACCCACATATTGATGCTCTTTTGCTTAAATGATATATTTTCTTTCCTATCAGAAAATAAAGGTTTTCCTTCCAGCTGATGGCAATCTTTAAAATATTTACGTTAGCTCCCTTGTGGATTTATTTTCAGGGAGTTAAGAGTGATTTCAGAACGAGCTCTGGAATGTTTTTAAGTCATCAAGAGAAAAATTATCCAATGATCCAGGTATTGATTACAAAAAGTAGGTATATCGATTACAAATCGATTCCACTCATCTTAGACAAAAATTCAATTTAAAAAAAAACTGCACATATGAACGTTCTCTTTTTCTAAGTTTCTAGTTAAGTCGCTATGGGAAACTAAGGGCCCGCTTAGTAATGTTTTCATTTCTTGTTTTTGTTTCCTACTTTTTAGTAAAGAGAAATAGAATTACATGCCCTCGGCACCAATGGATTCAAGAATGATAAAACAATATTTTAATTTATGTTTAAGAACAAATTGAAAACGGGAACAAGAAACTAAGAAACTTGATTTTGTTGTTTCCACAATTTCTATGAAATTTTGAGAATGTTAGAAACATAAATATTTGTCAAGTGCTTAAATTTTTTTAATAAAACGAGGAATATTACCAAATGGACCCTAAATATTCAAGGATGGTGAATATTCTGGAAGTTTAAATACAGCTGATAAAGTTGATCTGTTGTTTCTGTTGGTCCTTGTTTACTGCCGTCTGCCACTTTCTTGTTTTCGTTGGTCCTTTTTTGTTTCCTTAGGTTATTTCCTGTTTGGCTCTTTGGGCTGCCGTTTTTGTGGGCACGTTTTTTGTTTTAGTCCTTGTTTGTCGGCTCCTTGTTTGATTCTTTTGTATTCTTTCTTTCTTTTTACTTTCAAGATTTTTCTTGACAAAAAATACAGCTAAGTTCAAAAGAAGTGTCCCTACTGGAAACGGGATTGCTTGCTGTGATCACATTCTTACTCAAGCTACTGTTGGTTATAATGGTCCCACACATGTCATCCCGCTAACTACTTATTAGACCTGTCCTCTACCCTATTTCTTCTACACCGTATGCTTAAACAATTGGGACCTATCAGTTTCCGGATAACACACGTTGATTACTATCTTCCCAACAATCCTCACAAAAATTGATTTTATGCTCCTAAACTAAGATAGTAGAGGCTAGAATAGTTCTCAATTTTTTATCAACAACCTTAGATAATAAAGCATGTCAAATTTTATAGAGAATCTGGTGATCAGGAGCTCCTCTTTGAATTTGTATTACCTTTTCAACTTAGGTGGAAATGTTAAAAAGCATGCTAAACGTTGCCACTCATCTTTTATCATTACAACCTGTTGCTTATCTTTGGGTTCACTCTCTGTCGGTTGGTGAAAGACTTCATCTGTTTTGAATTCTGTGAAATCAGGCAATTGAAAAAAGAATTTCTGTCTATTCTCAAATACCAATAGAAAATGGAGAGCTCATTCAAGTTTTAAGGTATGGATATAATTTTGTTTCTGAGAAGATACATGTGAATGCAAATAGTGGTCTGTACTTCAGTTTTAGTGCTAACATTTCAAGCAGTACAGGTACGAGAAGAATCAATTTTACAAGCCTCATCATGACTACTTTTCTGATACTGTAAGATCTGTTATTATTGACCCATGGCCTTAGTATGCTGAACTTGTGCTCTTGCTGATGGTAAGTGCCGTTTCTTTCATGTTTCCTCTTTACAGTTTAACTTGAAGCGTGGTGGTCAGCGAGTAGCAACCATGCTTATGTATCTAAGTGACAACGTTGAAGGTGGAGAAACCTACTTTCCGAAGGTATTTACCATTTTCCTTTCTGAATTAAATTTCATTGCTATAATTCATTAGTACTTATTATTTTTTATAAGAAACAATCCATTGATATTAATGAGCAAGACACAATTACGAAGCAAAAAGAGGATAAAGGCATCCTCTTATATAGAAGCCCAATTCGAGGCATTAGTTTATCTTAAAAGACCATTTCTTAGATAATTACATAAAATCTTCTTTGTCAGTTTCAGTAGAAATATCTTTAATTACCCATCAATTAAAAACTCGTTCTCTTTGTCCTTTTCACCATCAATGTCCTTATTTACTCTTCAATTAAATATTTTAGCACTCAACTCGTTACACACCATTTTAATCATGGAGCTGGGAGTTGATACGGGAGCACAATAGATAAACCGGACAGTGTTCTCATATTCCATACGAGTTTCTGATGCATGACATAGGAAGCAAGGCAAGAGATGAATAGGGTGAGAACTAGTAGTCTACTAGCCTAGAGCAGGCATAGTCCATTGATGGACATGACACTGGCATGACGTTACGACATTTTTTAAAAATTTAGGTCGACTGATTCAATAAAATATTTTAGTATACTTTTCTATATATTAATGCAAATTATACTATATATAGAGTTAAGATACAAGAGCATATTCTCAACCATTGAATTTTAAGCAAATTTAATTACTATAAAGTCAATCATATTCCTCCATAGACAATAGTTTTCACATGAAGTGAAGTATAGTGTTCCATTAGATACACAAATTTCTCTAAGGGGGAAAAAGATCGTATCTCTAACGTCATTTTCGCATCTTGACATACCACTTCAATAAGGTTTAGTACGTGTGAAATCTACTTATTTTCTTTCCTCTTTTAGATTATTCTCCATAGGCTTTTATGCTTTCATTCATTTATATTCCAGTTCCTTAATGTAAATTATATAAATGTTGGTTATAAAACTACTATTTGTTTATATTTAACCTTCTTTTTCTTTATTCCCTCAACAAACCGTGTCTTCCGTGTGTCTTGAGCCTGTATTAATGCGCTTCACTAGTTGGACAGCCCAAATCATGTATTCTACACTTTTTCTTCCGGCATGTTTAGATGTTCTCATCGAGCACGTATCAACACTAGTACTCTACTCAAAATGGAGCGTCCATGCTTTAGTTTGGAGAAGTAGAAAGAAGAGAAAAAAACAAGAAAGTACGGTAGAGAAATTCTAGTATATTGAATAGGCATACTCATTACCAATGGTAACTTATAATATGCTGATTGACATCAGATGAATGTGGTAAAAGAGGAGAATTCTGTTCATGGGCACCTGCTTGAGTACTGTGGCGTTCTCTATCTGAAAAATAAATGTATAATTTAGACGAGTAGCTTGCTTTCCGATCATAGTATGACATTCTTCATTACTGGAAGATGGAGGGATAGAAAGCGGCATGGTGCTACGGCATCATGATTTCATTATTTGAACAGTCTATTTTTAAAAAATATTGTTGAAATTTTTACTAAATTTTAAGAACTAGAACTGTTTTTTGTTTTTGAAATTCAGTGCAGATTTCAAAAGTGTTCTTGAAAATGAAGAAGTTAACAAGCTTAATTTGGTAAAAACAGAAGTAAAAATAAGATTGTTATCAAATTGGACTGTTGAGTATCGTTTGATTGCGTTAAGTTGGAAGTTATGGTTTAAAAAACTAATGTACGTTTGCAATTATCAAATGACCAGTAGCCTATCATCTGAAAAGGAAGGCCACCCTAAGTTATTGAAGTTGCTTACTCCTAGATACATAATGATTGAACTTTGAAGCTCCTTTTCCCTTTCTGGCATGAATACAACTATCGAAAGGCAAAATTATGTCACGGTTCTCCCCCTTGAAATTTGGTTTTCTGCTCGAAATTCTGTTCTTGTTGTTGTATTCAAGTTTCTTGGAAGTGTCGTGTTCTGAGCTTTTGTATGTTTTTTCACAGGCTGGTTCTGGGGAGTGTAGTTGTGGTGGGAAAACTGTCCCAGGGTTGTCCGTTAAACCAGTCAAAGGAGATGCAGTGCTTTTCTGGAGCATGGTATGTATCTTTTGCCTCTCAAAATGAAATGAATAATGTGAAAGAAAGCAAGATTTTGAACACTAAATTATTTAAGAGGTGCTGTGGTAGTAAGGGCTTAAGGCTTAAGATGTTTGCTGTTTAAAGATGCCAACCCACCAAGGTTTTTGGTCCTACCCTTGGTTGACTTAGAACCCTTTCGGTAACGTTTTGTTTTTTGTTTTTTGTTTCTTTTTTCGTTTCTCGTTTCTTATTTTTTAATAAAGAAAATCAGAATTACGTTTGGTAATTGAAAAAATTAACAAAAACAAGTTTGGCAGCCCTTCCTTATTTCTTGTTCTCTAAAATTAAATTAAAAAAATTAAAAGTTCTCTATTAAAATTATGTTATATTAAATTTTTTTAATATATATTATGTATTTTACAAGTAAAAAATGATACAATAATGTTTGTACGTGTTTAAACACCTATAAACATGTTATTTCTTAATTTTTTTAGAAAAAAACTATAAACATGTTAACGAACCAAGAAACTTGATTTTGTTGTTTTCAAAATTTTTATGCAATTTTTTAGAAACGTTTCTTAAAAATGAGAAACAATAAGAAGTTGAAAATAAAAAAATAAAAAACAAGAAACGAGAAACGAAAAACGAGAAACGAGAATGTTATCAAACAGATCCTTATTGACTTAAAACTGTTGTCGATCTTTGAGATTCCACCTTAGTGTGGGCGAAGCGCCTCTCCCAGAGATGAGGAGATTAGTGGACGGGTCACGAACATAATGCAAGAAGTAGAATCACATAATCCATTTATATAAAAAAAGGAAAAAGAAAACCCAATGCAAGAAGTAGAATCGCATAATCCATTTATATAAAAAAGGGAAAAAGAAAACCCGCAAAATGCGTTTGCTTAGTTTTACATTATATTCGAAAATATAACATGAATGTAGAGGTAGAGATGGGAATTTGTTAAATTTGGGTTTATATTCGAAAATGTTGTTTTTGATCACATTTTTGATGTGATCACATCAGGGATTAGATGGACAGTCGGATCCTAATAGCATTCATGGAGGGTGTGAAGTACTGTCTGGCGAAAAATGGTCTGCCACAAAATGGATGAGGCAAAAGAGTACTCTGGTACCATAGTTCATACTTATTATAGAGTTCCACTGCATACGGCATTTAATATTTTGTTACATAACAAAGTAATAAATTTAGAGAGAGAAAGAGAAAGAGAGAAGCTAGTTTAGATAGTGTTTAACATATTAACAATACTCACTGTGAATCAATTTATTTAATGAATAATACAGCATCTGGTGTTATCCTCCCCCAGTGTGTGTATCTGCTGAAGTTATAGATTTTTTCTTTTCTAAGAACCAAGATCAGACTATTTAAACGATGTTATTGTGTACGTTGAGAGTATTGATTACTAGAGTTCAACAAATATAGAGGTGAAGATTGAACCTTTGACTTCAAGGATGGTAGTAGATGTCTTATCCACTGAACTATGTTTGAATTGACGATTAGTACTTACATGTATTCTAACTGAAAATGAGAAAGTATGAGAGTAAATATTGAATGATATTCTGTTTACTATGGTTGTTAATATCGGAGTCCTAATTGATACTCGTTTGCAGTTTTACTTGGATTTGTTAATTCTGGATTTATTAAGTTCGGAGTTGGTAAGCATGTGTTTGGAATTGGATTGTGTAGAAAATAGGTTTGTTTGGTATGAATTTGTTAAACATGTGTTTGGATTTTGCTTGGTTAAATTTGAGTTTATTAAAAGTGTGTTCGGTTTGATTGTCGCCTTTTTCCGATCCAGACCCTTTAGCTAAAATTTATATGAAAACTCGTCTTTTATCTCGAGCCGCTTATGATAGAGATGACATTGAGGGTTAGATACCTTTCCCATCCTTGATCTCACAGGAAAATTCAATCCTCATTCTCAAAATTTGAGGAATTGGGACGGTTTTAGGGTATATATTTCCTATCTCTATCCTTGACATCAAATTGACTTTTTTTTTATATTTTTTATTTGGTGGGAATTCCCATTTAGCCTGGGCTAAGACCTTATTTTTTTTTAACATGAATTGGGGAATTCCCATGGAGTAAGTTACGTAACAACTCGTTCACTACCAATTTAAGTCAAAGACATTTATTTTTGATTAAAAGATTTGAATTTCCACTTCTATGTTAGTGAGCTGAAAAAGAGGAGAAAAGAAATAATCACATGTCACACGATGGTTTCTGCATCTTCAGGTCGACTATTGATAGAGTCATTATGGTAGAGTTTATTTTCAATGATATTGTAAGTGGTGATAATAAACTAAATTGAAAGTTTGAAACTCATTGTAATTTCTTATATAATCCAAAGTTGGTTTCAATGATATGGTGTGTGTGGGTTTGAGGGCGTGTAATTCTACGTATCACATGCATATTTTTAGATAAATATTATAGTATTCGATGATCGTAGCTTGACAAAAGATGACATCTACGCTTTTTCTTAAATAAGATGTTGAAATCTCCATAAGCCTAGATTTGTTATACTCAATGAAAAGAAAAAAAAAAGACAATTGGTCATAGTATTTTAGAATACACTACGATATTTAGTGTAATCATTTTTAATTTATTTCACATTTTTTGAAGATTAAAATAAAATAATAAAATAAAGAGAAATTTTCACTCCATACCATAAAATTAATGTGTACTTTTTTTTATAAACTGTCACAACTTTTTAATTTTGTCCAAATATAGCATAAAATGACAACTTTTCTTAGCGTTTTCACTACATTTGAGTTTGAGTACGAGCTCGAATTTAATTTCAAACTTCTGACTAAATCTCAAAAAATATATTTATTTTATGTTGTTTATGTAAATATTTCTAAAATAAATTACAAATAAAAAAAAAACCAAGACGTTAAAAGCCAAATAAATTTAAAAGTGCATCTTTTTCCACTTTTGGGTGGTCCTCAACTTTTTCTAAAAGATGCACTTTTCAATGTCTGAATCAATAATTCTAAACTAAACAAAAAAAAAAACATGTTGAGAAAAAGTAACCCCAATAATTGCTTCTCAAATCAAGAAAAAAATATCCAAATCATAATCAAAATTTTGAGCTGCAAAAATTAACCCAACATTTATTATTAAAACATGAAGCACATTATCAAAACCTAGTACCATATAGAAGATAGAACAACACTATTAATTCACTAACCCACTAGTAAATGGTTCAAACTTTGAAGAACAAAAGAGAAACAAAACATTCCCTTTTGGTATTAAAATTTGAACTCCTTTTTTTTTCTTTCTTTCATCAAATTAAAAAACAAACTTGAACACACACTTGTTCTAGCAATTTGGAGAGTTGGGAAGCTTGCATTTCTCAGGCAGCTTCAAGGCAAGATTAGGGTCAATGCCAAGAGAAGGAAGAGCTCCCGAGTTCCGGTACGCGCAAAAGCAGTGCAAATCGGCGTGCGAGAGCGCTGTACAGCAGTTGGCGCTCGGAGGCGTTGGGTTCGGAGGCGTCACCGACGGCCTGCATGCATACAAACCAACAATCGACATGTTGCATAGGGTCTGAGCTTCACCCCAACCTAAAGCAACTATCAACACCAATGCCATAGCCACCACCTTATGACCTCTGTCCATCTCTCTCAATCTCCTCTATATTTTCGAGTTCTCTTGAGATTTTGATGGCTTTTATAGAGATAGGAAGAAAGAACATAACTAAAATGGAGAGGGAGACAATTGTTGTATAGAAAAAATATTTATTATCATTTCAAAGGTGGATAGTTCGAGAACTCAAAGAAAAATGGAAAACAATTATTCTCTTCAGAAGAGGACGGATAAAAATACAGGAAAGTCCGTGAGTGAATAATGGTTCCAAAAGAATAAAACAAGGGACACTGATTTCACGTGGCCTATGAAGTTGTGGCTGTGGACAAGTCTTCTACATATAAGGATAACGTTTGGTACTCTTTTCATTAGGTCCATTGGTGTTTTTTCTTTTTCAACATAGAGAAGATATGAAAATTCAATTCAAGATTAAATATATTGGGAAAGTTTTAATCTTTTAGTTCATGATGATTAAATATATATATTGGGAAAGTTCTAATTCTCTCCTTGTTCTCGATCTATCTTATATTTCTAGATTTGATCTTGATTTTATATCATATAGAAAGATATGGTTCAACTATATAGAGAATGGCCGTTTCTTGTAAGTATTGTTTTGATTTATATTAAATATGAGTATTTAGAATGCAGAAAGGAAACTGCTTGGTGGTCATGGTAGATGTTTGAGCATTGAATATCTGTCAAACGATCAAGTGAATCTTCTCGTGAACGTTGAAACCTGCAAGACAGAGGTTGAGTGCTATGACGCTCCCATTAGTACATGCTTGAATTGGATAGGTTTTGCCCTTCGCCTTTATAGGCGACCACGAAATGGGAAAAGTCATTAATCGTCAATTCCTCCCCGGATTACGGGATTCCGTGGGAATTGCGTTGGTGCTTATTACATTCCTTCCCGAAGTCGTCGGTTGTTTCGAAGATGGTGGAACATATTGAGACGTAGTTAGTTGAGTTCGGCTTTCTGATCTCTATTAATATTACTTCACAAACTGTTTATAATTTTTTTAGTACAACACATGGAGTGGGGACTCCAATTCTTACAAGAGATATATGCCAATTAGTATTAGCTATGCTCACTTTGACAGCTTATAATTTAGTCTTAAACTATTTTTAATTATATTTCATTTCTTAAGCTTGATTGATCGCCACTGAACAAGTGTTTCATAATATTACTTGGAACTAAATCTCTCTTGAGCCAATAAGAAAAAATTGTGTCAAGTCTCGAACCAAACATTTAAAAATATGTTGATATGCGAAAAAAATGGTGAATTTTTGTCGTTGTAAAATTATCTTTTTGACTACTAATGAGTCATTCTCGTCCATATAAAAAATCAATGAGCAAAACCCTTTACAACGAACTGAGGATTAAGATTTAACTTTTAATTTAATCAAATATTCTCCCTAAATTATGAAATTGTTGCAATTAAATTTTTAGATATTGCAAAATGCACCAACCATTCATGAACTATAAATATTGTTACAGTCAAACCCAAAAAAAAAAATAAAAATAATATTATATATATATTTTAGATCAATTTTTTGTTTTCTTAATTAAATTGAGATGTTGGCACAACATCCATATGAAAACCAAAATTTTTAATAATATAGCTTTTAAATTTTACAGAGTTGAAAAAAAAAATTGGTTTAGCCAACATGAATCCAACTTAAGTGATTAGGACAATGTTTATTCGAATCTTCAACCCATATATTTTTGTATTAAAAAATAAAATTAGGTTAAAAACGGTTCCATGGTTTAAGATTTGACTATAACAACTCATCATTATAATTTATGAATATATTGATTATTATGGTGTGTCCACACATATGTATTGACATTGACATTTTATCGAGAGTTTCATAAAATTTATATCTCGATATTTTGGCCGATATTGACATTTAAAACCTTATTGACAAGAACACAATTTCAACGTGCAGCTGGACTAGCTATTTAAGACACTTTTTAGCTTCAAAATGTAGGACACATTTGAGATTAGCTAATTAGGGTACGTAGACAAGACTTGTGAAGAGTCACCACCACAAAATAAAAAGAGACTCAAACAAAAAACCTACTCATGTGCAGCTAAATAAGTAGGACCCCACCCCTATGCTGAACTAGGACAAACCCCACCTTTGGAGGAACATTTTTAATATTTTTCACATATTAATCCACACACTACAAAGATAATAAAATTGATGAAAGAAACATAATATTTAGGGGTGTTTGAGATTGATTTTGAGATCATTCAAAAAGTGATTATGAGAGATGTTGGAGTTAAAATTAAAAGGGACACTCCACCCCACATTTCAGGTACGCTATGGTGCTCCGCGACCGACTTGATACAACTCCTACTCACACTAACTTGGGTTTCAGAGTATTTATTCCTTGTACAGGTCCATTGTCTCGAAGGTTGGTTCTCTCCAGTTAAGCCTATGACCAACATGTGGAGCTCGGTAGAATATTGCATCAACGAGAGAAATTTTAACACTAAGTTTATTGTTTGACAACATTGATGGTTAATCAATTTTGGTCTAAAAACGCATTTAAAAAAATGTTGATTTGTCTGGTAGGGATGATGTAGTGGCAAACGCTTGGGAGTTTGTGATACTATCGATGTCTGACATTCGAGTCGTGCGCTGGTCAAGTTCCAATAATAGGGATCCACTTGATAAACCAATGGAATCGAGAAATAAAAAACATACATATCTTGTGCTATTTTTGTAATTCCATTTGTGACCTTTTATTTCTAAAACTCTACTTTCTCAACTATTAATTAGAGCATAACCAACAATACTGCAATTAAGTTTTCAAATTGATTAGTTCAACCCAACCCTTTTTAAAAAAAAAAATGGTTGGGTTCAATTTACATGTAAATATAAATTGAAAGCATGGTCACTTTTGAGTAGTATGCCTATAGTTAAATTTATCGGACACTATGTAACCCTATTTTTCATAGAATAGGGACGATGCTTAAAATTAAAATGAGAGCTTACACATACAATTTACAACACGCACGTACGAATTCGTCACTCACATGTACGAACCGATCAATGTAAATTTTAACCTATAAATTTCCAAACCTAAGTATCACTAACTTAGATTTGCACATGCAAAATGTAGAAAAGCTTTGGAAAGGTCAAGTTTGAACCTAAGAAAAGCATAGAATTTTAAAATAAGCCCTTCAAATCTTTTCAACATTTGCTCCAACTCTCTCATCTATTATTAAAGTTAGGCTAAAATTTGAATGAAGTCATCTAAAGAAATGAAAAGAAAACTTTGCCTCTCCACTATTTCTAATAATAGAAAAGACACTTTATATCTATTAGTAAAAAAAGAGTTTTGAGTTTTACATACTACAAAGAATAATGAACTTAAAAGAAGGGGATTAAAGGGATTTTTATGGGTAATTCAGGCCAATCAATAATCTTGCTCCTATTGAAAATAACAGTGAAAGTGAAGAACCAATTATTTGGTATTAAAAATAATATCAATAAAAAATTTGCTAATGGTGTTAAAAGTAATATCAATAAAAACATTGCTAATCATATTATAAATAATATGAATAAAAACATTCCTAATTATAGTGATAGTTACAATTCTAGTTACATTACTGTTGATGATTTAGTCGTCGTTCAGAATTTCATATATGATGACATTTTTTTAGTTAGGGATAGTAATAGGTTATTCCATATATTTGGATATTGAAAATCAAATTTTTGAGATTGACAATGATCCTTCTTTTGTAAGTGAGCTAGAAAGTTCTTTTTATAGTTTTTGTAACTCTGCTTATCACAATAATGTATCTAAAAGAGATGATTCCCAGTATAATGGTTACATGTATGATACTAAATATAGTTGAAATAATCACATTAATAGTTGCATTGACAGTTATCTTCAGGCTCATATTGATAGTTACATTTTAAGTGGTAGTCATAGTTACACTAGGAATTACATTTATAGTTACATTTATGGTGAATGTGGAAATAGTAGTGAAAGTGCACGAATGGAAGTTATTTAACTAGAACAGAAAGTTCTAATTATCTAGATGTAAATGAAAAATACAGACATTTGTCGATTCAATGCGAAAATGAGAGACAATTTATGTCATTATGAAATGCTTTAAAAAATCTTAAAAGACTTGGGGAAGAAGAATGACTTCAGTTTTTATCTTCCGTGAGTTCTTGAGTTTACGAAGGCTTAGGAAAAAATGAGATGAAGAAGCTGAGCTAGGTCAAGACATACGTATCCGACCAAAAAAAATCGTGAATTTAAATCTCTCGAATCCAATATATAAAAAAGAAAAAAAGAAAGGAAGAAAAAAAAGGAAAAGTGCTCCACAAAGTGTCTTTATGAGGCACTAAATTTGAAATGGTGGCTGCCTTTTTTCTCCACAAGCTAAGGGAAATGTAGCTTTATGAGGTACTCAATAATATTACATAATTCAACATGCATCAAAATTATAATCTTCCACTTAATAAATTAACTATATAAGTAAAAGAGGAAATTCAAATTTTACTATTGAACTTTTACCATCGTCAAACTTTTGTGTGAAGAATCTTAAAATAATATTTCTCTGTATGTTTGGTGGATTATAAACAAAAACTTAATAAAAAATTTATTTGACTTTTTTAAAAAAGTGCAATATTTGTGAAATGTAGAGGAATTTCGAACTATTGTAGAAATTAACACTTTTCTAAATTTAAGTCCAATTAGATGAAATTGAGAGATTTTTTTTTTTACTTTTTATTTTTTGGAAAAGTTTAATTTGTGAAATAGAAGATAAAAATTATAATATATATACAAAACTACATTTCCAACCTTTTAAAAACAAAATTATTCATGCCAACCTGAATTTAGTTCAATTAGTTAAGGCAAATATTTTCAGTCAAAAGGTCGGAGATTCAAATCTCCAATTCCCCTGTTATTGTATTAAAAAAAATCTAGAAACCCAAAATTAAAGTTTTAAAGGTCGATATCGATGTCTCACTTTTATAGAAATGTCGATAGAAATATCAACAAAATATTAGCGTCGATAGATATTTTTAGTAAAATTATAAAATAATAAAATTCATAACAAATATTTATAAACATTTCACACTTTTTAAATTAGTTATTTATTAATAATAAATTAATATTAGTAATATTTTGTTCGCATACTTTTATATTTTACACGTAAAATAAAAATATGGATTTAGTCTCATGTTAGATATGACAACCTATCAACACACGATAATGCTGATAAGATTTAGTATCTGGTCAAGAACAAAAGTGTTGTGTTTGAACATTTTCTAAAACTAAAAAAATGACAAAAAATTGGCTGTCATTTTCTCATTAAATAAAATAGAAATTGTATTTAAAGTTATTACCACAAAAAGGCCCATCGGTCTCGCCTGACTTTGACGGTCACATTACCCAAACTATCACTTCTTTGATATTTTAAAATTTTGGAGGTATACGTCAATTATCGAGCTATATTTATTTTAAATCTTTAACATTAATAACTACCTTATGAAATTACGAAATTTTGGATTTTTAGTGTGCTAACTTAAAATACAAAATTCTAAAAGAATACCATATAGGTACAACTTTTAAAATTTAATGACTAAAATAGTATTTCAAACTAATAAATAACATCAACTTCTAAAATTGAAATTAATATATATATATCAACTTGTTAAGACATATTTTCAATTATGAATAGGGGTGCCACAATGGATAAGATACCTCAGTTAATTATTGAATATGTTGTGTCTTTCGAGAAAATGTTTAATAGGCTAAAATTTGTTCATATTCCTAATTCTTTGAATAGATAATCTGTTTTATCGTCACTGCTCTTCTAACACTGAGTGGTTCGATTTCTTTTTAATGCAGTATTTATTTGTTTTAAAAAAAAATAAATAAATAAAAGACCTTTTCCTCGCCATTGCTATAAATGAAGTCACTTCCCCTGTTTCCTCAACTTCACAATCACAGCTCTGTTTCACCCCTTCTGAGACACAAAACTTCGCCGGCGACCGGATTCCGATGGGCTCCGAACCAAATTCCGGCGGCCACATCCTGATGCTTCCGTTCATGGCTCACGGCCATCTCATCCCCTTCGTCGGCCTCGCCAATTTCATTCTCCAAA